CCCACAAAACGGTTGTTATTATTTTTGCTTTACATAATCTTTTTTTTTTTTGAGATGGAGTCTTGCTCTGTCTCCCAGGTTATAGTGCATCGGTGTGATCTTGGCTCACTACAACCTCTGCCCCACCCGGGTCCAAGTGATTCTCCTTCGTCAGCCTCCTGGGTAGCTGGGATTATAGGTGCCTGCTACCACGCCTGACTAATTTTTGTGTTTTTAGTAGAGATGGGGTTTCACCATGTTGGCCAGGCTGGTCTGAATTCCTGACCTCAGGTGAGAAGGCCTTCCAAAGTGCTGGGATTATGGGATGCCACGTCCGGCCCATAATCATTACTTTTTATTTTTTATTTTTATTTTATATATATATTTTTGAGACGGAGTTTCGCTTTTGTTACCCAGGCTGGAGTGCAATGGCGTGATCTCGGCTCACCGCAACCTCCGCCTCCTGGGTTCAGGCAATTCTCCTGCCTCAGCCTCCTCAGTAGCTGGGATTACAGGCACGTGTCACCATGCCCAGCTAATTTTTTTGTATTTTTAGCAGAGACGGGGTTTCACCATGTTGACCAGGATGGTCTCGATCTCTTGACCTCATGATGCACCCACCTCAGCCTCCCAAAGTGCTGGGATTACAGGCGTGAGCCACCGCGCCCGGCCCCTACTTTTTAAATGTTTTAAATGTTATATTTAAATTATTCACTTTATGCCCATAATTTTACATTTTCTATTTACTATTTCCAGAGCTCTTCTTTCCTTTATGTAGATTCAGATTTCTATTTGCTATCATTTTTCTTCAGCCTGAAGGACTTCCCATAACATTTCTTATAGCTCCATTTTGCTGATGATTAATTCTTTTGATATTTATATATTTTTAAAAATTTTTATTCTGCTTTGGCTTTGGAAGATATTTTTACTGGGTACAGGATTCTAGAGTGACAGGTTTTTCTTTTCTTTTAGTACCTTAGAGGTTTGTTTTTGATACCAGTCTGCTGTCATTCTCGTATTTGTTTCTCCGTTTGTGACATGTCTTTTTTCTCTGCCCAATTTTAACATTTTCTTCTTATCACTTTTTAAGCAATTTGATTACTGTTGGCCTTGGTGTCATTTTCTCTGTGTTTCTTGTGTTTGAGGTTCATTGACTTTCTGAAATCTGTGAGTCTGTAGTTTTTATCAAATTTAGAAAAATTTGAACCATTTTTTCTTGAACTTTTCTGTTTCTTCTGTCCTCATGTTTCCATTTTGGAGAGTCTGATGACATATGTATTCGGCGCCTCAAAGTTTCCACACAGCTCACTAATCCTTTTTCTTGTCCTTTTTCTCTCCGTGTTTTATTTTATATAGTTTTATTTCTTTATCTTCAAGTTGACTCATCTTTTTTTCCTGTAATGTCTAATTTGCTATTCATCTCATCAAGTGGTTTTTCTTTTGTTTTGAGACAGAGTCTCACTCTGTCGCCCAAGCTGGAGTGCAATGGTGCAATCTTGGCTCACTGCAAACTCTCCCTCATGGGTTCATGTGATTCTCCTGCCTCAGCCCCTCGAATAGCTGGGATTACAGGCACTCACCACTATGTTTGGCTAATTTTTGTATTTTTGGTAGAGACGGAGTTTCTCCATGTTGGTCAGGCTGGTCTTGAACTCCTGACCTCAGTTGATCTGCCTGCCTTAGCCTCCCAAAGTGCTGGAATTACAGGTGTGAGCCATTGTGCCTGGGCATTTAGTATATTTTTAATCTCAGACATCTTTGTTTTCACATCTGGAAGTCAGATTTGCATCTTTTTATTATATCTTGGATCTTTTTATTGTATCCTCCATGTCTACTTAATATGGTCAGTCTTTTCTCTGGCTTCTTGAACATATGAAATACAGTTAGTGTAGCAGTTATCATGTTCTTCTCCACTAATTGTATCATCTATGTCATTTCTGAATTGGTTTTGATTGTTTCTTTTACCCCCATTTTGAAGTATATTTTTTCCTTCTTTCTCCTATTAAGTGTATCAATGCCAGATATTTTGAATTTGACTTCTTAGGTGCTGTCTATTTTTGTAGTCCTGTAAATATTCTTGTATCTTGTTCTGAGACCCAGTTGAAGTATCTGGAAACAGTTTGATCTTTTCGGGTCTCGCTTTGAAGCTTTTTTAGCTGGGACCAGAGCAGCATTTAGTCTAGGGGTAATCTGGCCAATTCCTGAGGTGAAACCCTCCTGCATACTTTATGTTCCATGAATTATGAGGTTTTCCCGCTGTGACTCACAAAAACAGGAGCTGTTCCTGGCCCCGGGGAAGCCTCAGGGATTGCTCACTTGAGTTCTGTCAGGCGGCTCTTTCTCCAGCCTTGAGTAGTTTTCTGATGCGCCTGTGTTGGGCAATACCCAGGAACTCGCTCAGGGGCCCCTTTGCAGAGCTCCGTAGCTCTCTCTTCTCTGGTACTCTGCTCTGTGAACTCAGCTGTCTTGGCCTTTCTGCACTCCCAGATCCATTTCCTCGACTCACGCAGACCACGGGGCCCCATCCGGAGCCCTTCTTCCTGTGCTGTGGCCTGGAGATTTTCTCCTGGCAGAAAGCTGGGGCCATCTTACTGCCAGCCTCATTTATTTTGCTTCTCTCAGAGATCCCTGTCCTTTGTTGCCTGATGTCCAGTGTCTTGATGGCTTCATACATCTTGCCCATTTTTAACTATTTTTTTTCCAGCTGGGAGGGCAAATCTGGTCCCTTTTTGGTTAGAAGCAGGAGTTCAGTCATCCAGAGTGGTTTTCAAAAATTCTTTTCTGGTTGTTTCATCTGATTGCTGTGATACAGGCTATTCTGTTAGAACCAGAAGCCTCGGCTCTCCTTCCAGTCAGGCAGAAACCTCTCCTGTCCCCAGGAGAATGTCCTTCCTTTAACCTCTAAATAACGCTCTTTTCTTTAGTGCCTCCTCTGCACACTCTCTTGGCTGTTCCATAGGCTTAGGCTTTTAGAAACAAAAGCCAGGAAGTCTTGCAGCTGCTTCTGCCTTTTGATTTGCTGTATAGCTCTCTTAAAGCAAACAAACTAAAAACAGCCATTCACCTATTTAATGGGGAGGGGAGGAGAGAGGAGGAGAAGAATAAATGTACTGCATATTGATATTCCCAAATAGTTTCTGCTTAAACATGTATTCAGCTCCTTTGACTTGCTTCATCCTCCACCCACGCAGATTAGGCTCAAGTGTCCCTCTCCCCATCATGTCAGTCAGCCATTTACTGAGCACTTACTAGAGGCCAACTCAGGAAGAGGAAGCACAGCTCAGAGCTCAAGAGCCTGGGCTCCTTAGGCAAATCCTGTGCACACCCCACCTGTTCCGCTAAGTGCTGGGTGATTTGGATGAGTAACAATCCCTCTAAGCCTCAGTTTCCTCATCTGTGAAGCTGGTTCAAGAGAGTACCCCTTGAGGGGTTGCTATTGTCTTTGGGCTTCCCGCTCTGAAAAGGCACATTGTTTTTTTGAAAATTCAGAGATGAAGAAATGAACCTTACCAACGGTTTCTGTATAAACCACTCTCGGCCATGGCTGACACATGCTTTATTCTTTCCTTCTCTTGACTGTTTTATCCCTCCATTTCTGCACGCATTTTCTCTCTGACGGTTAGGATTCTGATGTTAAAATAATTTGGCTTGCTCTTGGGAACAGCCTACAGAGTCAGGATTCACCACCCCCCCAACCAAAATTTAGTTTAGATGTCATGCCTGACAGTGCCACACACAGGCTCATCAAGAGTGTAGAAAAAGGCTTATCACCCGCATAGTGAGGCCTTCTGAGGACAGCAGCATGGCCTTCCTCACCTGATCCAATAATGGCTTGGGAGAGCAGGGAAAGGAGCCTGGCTTGGGGGTTTCCTTATGGTTGGAAAATGGGACTGACTGAGAGGAGGGGTTTGTGTGGTTTGAACTTCCAGCTGGTGCCACAGGAGGGAGCATTGGGCTTTCTCATCTGCTTGCACAGTGGTGGGGCAGAAGGGCACGCGGGAGTGGTGAGGGTGAAGAGCTATCAGCCACGAAACATCAAAAAACTGGAGTCAGAGTCCATTACACTTACAGGTTAGGGTCTGTCATCAACTTGCTATGCAGATCGATGCTGCCCAGTTCTTGTGGTTATGGAAGTCTCGGCAGGAGGGGAGTTTATACGCCAGACGTGTATTTATACATCACAACCTATACAAGCGAACTTAGAACTTCACTTTCTATAAATGACCCTTTTCTGCTTTTTAACCCCATGTCTGCTCAAAGCAGAAACGAAAACGTACATCTGTCTTGCACAGTGTCCCGAAAAGTGAGAGCCGGCCCCCCGCGGGGATTTCCCTAACCTCTTTGGATTTTAATGGCCTGATGCTGGTGTCTGAATCTAGGTCCAGGAGTCGTGAGGACACTTCCTGTATCCTCTGCCCGCGCCTTGTCCAGGCTGCTCCCAGAATAGTCTTCCCACATCCTTGCTGCCTGGCAAGAATGTCTTTTCTGTCGTCTCCGTGCTTTTCCCTGGGACAGCCTGCTTTAAGGCACTCTCTGTGACCACATCTCACTAGTGTAAGAGCTGGAAAGGGGAAGCCTGACAAATTGCCAAGAGGGAAAGAAAATGGGGAGTACTTTAAAAAGAAAAATTTGTTTATCATACTTCAATTTCTGGAGTACAAGTGCAGAGCGTGCAGGTTTGTTACATAGGTATACATGTGCCATGGCGGTTTGCTGTATTCATCACCCCGTCACCTACAGTAGGTATTTCTCCTAATGCTGTCCCTCCCCTAGCCCCAGCATGTGATGTGGTTTTGAGGGTGTGGTTGCAGTGAGCTGAGATCACGCCACTGCACTCCAACCTGGGTGACAGAGCGAGACTCTCTAAAAAAAAATTCGGTTTCATGTCTATTTCCTGCCAGAAGGCACGTTTTTCTTCTCCACTATTTAAAATACAACTTTAACATATACCTCTGTATTTTCCACATTTGTCAGTCATTGTTTTGTACTCATTTTGCTTTTATTTCATTTTTATTGTTTAGGTTTTACTGCTGCATATCCAACACAACCCTCCATTTCTTTTAAGTCCCAAGCTTGGATAATTCCAGAATCAGAAAAAAAAGGATTCAATAGTCAAGCCAAGAGATTTTCTCGTAAGAAGGTAATGACGTTGTCTTAGGGATTCTTTAGTTTTAGCCTCATGGGACAAGCACATCCTGCCTGGCTTCTGTGTCTCTCTGTGGACAGTGGAGGGCAGTGTGATCCCAGGAGCCACCACACCGGTACCACTGAGGGCCACCAACTAGACTAACTGTAAGAAGCAGCCTGAAAAATGGGACATCCAGGGAAAAACACCTATGTCCAGATTTATGGTGCCAGAAATACTGAGCTGGAGCAAAGCTCTTTTAAGAAAAAAAAATATATTTTAAAAATCATTATAAAACTAAAAAATTCCCAAGTGTTATCAATTAAGTAAAAGGTTAAAAAAACAAACAAACAAAAAAAAAAACTTCCCTATCCTTATGAGAGGAAATCACATGACTTCAAATAACACAAGAGGAATAGAAGAGTCAAATACATCCAGAATTACCTTTGAGGGCTGGGCGTGGTGGCTTAGGCTTGTAATCCCAGCACTTTGGGAAGTTGAAGTGGGAGAATCCCTTGAGCCAGGAGTTTGAGACCAGCCCATGTAACATAGCGAAACCCCATCTCTATAAGAAAAAAAAAAGTATAAAAATTAGCTGGATGTAGTGGTGTGTGCCTGTAGTCCCAGCTACACAAGAGGCTGAGGAGAGAGAATCATCTGAATCTGGGAGCTTGACACTACATTGAGCTGAGATAGCGCAACTGTACTCCAGCCTGGGTGACAGAGTGAGAGAGACCCTGTGTGGAAAAAAAAAAAATTACCTTTGTAACAAGGACTGCCCTCCTTTTTAAAAACAAAACAAAACAAAACAAAATACTTCTGGCCAGGCACAGTGGCTCACACCTGTAATCCCTGCTACTCAGGAAGCTGAGGCAGGAGAATTGTTGAATCCTGGAGGCAGAGGTTGCAGTGAGCCAAGATCCCGCCACTGCACTCCAGCCTGGGCAACAGAGCAAGACTCCATCTCAAAAAAAAAAAAAAAAAAAAAAAATCCTTAATGTGTTATTGGCTGGATGCAGTGGCTCACACCTGTAATCCCAGCACTTTGGGAGGCCAAGGTGGACAGATTACCTGAGGTCAGGAGCTCAAGACCAGCCTGGCCAGCAGGGTGAAACCCCATCTCTACTAAAAATGCAAAAATTAGCCAGGAGTGGTGGCACATGCCTGTAATCTCAATTACTTTGGAGGCTGAGGCAGGAGAATCATCTTGAATCTGGGAGGCGGAGGTTGCAGTGAGCCAAGATTGTGCCACTGCACTCCAGCCTGGGCAACAGACTGAGACTCCATCTCAAAAAAAAAAAAAAAAAATGTGTTATCATGTTCCTGTTACTCACCCCCCACCCCTCCCTTACATCTTGCCACATCTCTTCCTGTCTAACCTGGAAAGTTATGCATGGTTCCTGACCCGTCCTTATTTAATCTTTGAGATTTCTGGGACCTGACTTTCTCCTCTCTCACCAGCAGGGGGCAGAAGCAACTCACCGGCGTCCTTAGCGTCTAAAAAGTTTTTCATTCCTTCATTCATTTAAGCAAGACCTTTGGAATAATGTTCTTTTGGAGGAGTCGTCGTTTCAGATATCTTTTAGTGCACTCTAAAAATGGCTTTTATCCTGTCACCTTCCCCGGATGGCAGACAGGGAATGAGGAGATCTAGGCTCTGAACAGAGCCAAGGCATGGAGTGAGGGGCCTCGGCCAGCCCTGGTGGCCTCAGCCTGATTCCTCCTTGGTAGATGAGAACGCTGAACTAGAGAATGTTTTAAGTTTCTTCCACTTCTGATATTTTAGGATTCTAAGAAAGCAAATAATAAAGAATAGAGTGTATACACACAAACACACTCACACACACCACACACACAGTTTTAGTTAACTTGTAGATTTTCTCTAAAGATGATACATATTCGCTCAGGGGTTTTCTTCTCTCTCTAGTTTCTCTGTTTTTTGTTTGTTTGTTTGTTTTGAGACAAGTCTCACTCTTGTCCTCCAGGCTGGAGTGCAGTGGCATGATCTTGGCTCACTGCAACCTACGCCTCTCAGGTTCCAGCGATTCTCATGCCTCAGCATCCTGAGCAGCTGGGATTACAGGTGCCTGCCACCATGTCTGGCTAAATGTTGTATTTTTAGTGGAGATGGGGTTTTACACTGTTTGGCTCATTCCCATTTTCTGTCTGATTTCATTTGTCAATTTAATGATAATATATCGTTCATCTCTAGGATATTTGCAGCCCAGTCTCTGATAAAAATAATAGCAACCACCATTCACTTACCCTTACTGTATGTACTTTTATTTCTAATCCTCAGAACAATGTTGAAAGGAAGGGTTTGTTATTTTAATTTAACCCAAGAGGAAATTGAGGCTTAGGGAAGTTAAATGACCCACCCAAGGTCACACAACGCAGGGTTTGGCACTTAAGAGGCTCAGAATAAATGCGTGCTGAATCAATGTCAAAGAATTAGACCTCAGCCCAGGCCTAGATCACTCCAAAGCCTCTTGCTGTTTCCACATACTGCACCACGCCTGCCTTTGTGGCCTGCAAAGCTGTAAATGTGGCCTGGAAAAGTCAGCAAGTTTCTGAGAAGGCCTCAGCAAAACAGACCAAGCTGAAGACAGGGAGGATATCAGCTAACGTGTGGGGCCCCTATCCTCTGCCATCTAGTTCTGAACACTCAAATTCAGAACCCAAACAGGCCGACTTGTAAAGTTCATGTTTTAAAAGATGATTGCTTTTCAGAACATTTTCGACTGAAGGAACCACAGGGCAGGGCGCCAAACCTATAGGCAGCATCGAATACAGACAAATTGCTGAGACTGGGTTCCAACTTTTCAAATGTGGTCGTATTACTTGACAACATGCAAACTTTCATCTCAGCATTTGCAAGCATTTTATAACTAAGCATGAGATGTTATGGAAAGGGCATGGATCCATGAATCAGGCATTCTGTGTCCTTCTCTGTCACTGGCTGTGGGCCTTTCAAGCAGTCACTTGACTTTTCCAGGCTTCAGTTTCCTCCACTGAAACATAAAATTTGGATTATGTAATTTTGAGGTCTCCTCAAGGTATAAAAACAGAAAACCAAAATCCTACTCTATACCTACTCTATTCTCATTTTTCCTGAAGGAAATGGGCATTGACAGTTAAAGATCTTGTTTGACATCACCCATTTAGTGAGGCAATACAAATTAAAAACCAATTTTAAAAGTCCAGCGCCTCACCGCGCTTCTTAAAGCATTAGCCACGCACACCCTTGCTCCTGATGGAACATGGCCGCCTCCTCACAGGAGTCCCGCGGTCCCCTGGACACATCTTTGACATGGAGAATCAGTGCCCTTGGGAATGTGCACTTACCTTATCAGGCTAACTTTGCAGTGAACCGTCAGGGCCTCGTGACCCAGCTCACATTCCCCGTGAGAATCTCACTGCTAGGTACAAGGAATCCTTCACAGAGCTCAGTGTCTGGACTGGCGATTTTGGCTGCTAGAAATGAAGTCTGTTTTCCTGAACATTTTCGAGCTGTTTACAGATGTGCTGGTGACTTTGCGTGCGTGAAGAGACATGCCTAAGTCATCTGTGACACAGCACAGCCCAGGAGCCTGCGGGACATTTTCCTCCCCTGCCTCCCTGGTTCTGTCCCCACTTCATCTTTGATTGTGGTCACTGTTTCCCAAACTGAGTACTCCTAAGGTCACCACTTCATGTCTTTGCTTCTCTGTTTCCTCATCCTAAAAATAAAGATGTTGTAATAGGTAGGTAAGCCCTTGTCAGGAATGACTGTTTCATGGTTCTAAACCTCATCCCTTCCAGGCTTGAATAAATAAATACTGGTAGGACCTGGGGACCATGTACTCTAGATGGGCATAGTCTAAAAATATATATTAATACCACGTACATAGCCTGGCAGTAAATCTACCCTCCCAAACAGTAAGCCAGCCGGTGGTTAATTTGCAGTGAAATCGAACAAAGTTAATATTGTCCACTTATTAATGTGATATGACACTAGACCAGGGATGTTTAAATGAAAGGAAGTTCAGTTTGCAGAGGTCACCGTGTGCAAGGGAACAGCTGCCTTAAGGGTGCCCTCAGTTGCATAGCTGACCCACAGCAGGGTCTGCCCTGCGCCCTGCTCTGTGTGAAGCCTGACTTCTCTGTGTCAGTCACTAGTACCCACTGCTAAGGGGTCTGCAAACTCTGGGCTGGCACTGATGACATGCCAGGTACCCCTCAAAGACCTTTGCATTTATTGCCTCACTTAATCTCCATAATAACCCTGTGAGCTAAATCCCATCATTATCCACACTTTTCAGATAATGATCCTGAGATGAAAAGAAGGTGAAGTAGCTTGTGCAGTCAAGGCCGGGCTGTGAGGATGAGCCAGGTAGCAGCTCCTGCTCCTCAGACCCTGTTTCCCCAGCATCTTCCCCAGGTGGAAGCACTTCCCACAGCCCATCTTATGCCCTTGACATGAGGCTAATGTGTGTGCTATCTTCTCCCTAGCACCTGCCTAGCGGCTCCTTGAACACCAGTCACTGCTGTCCTTTCCAGACCCCGCAGATCCCTCAACAGTGGGTTGAATGACCCCAGCTCAAGTCTGTGCATTTCCTGCCGAGTTTGGAGCACACATCCATCCTTTAGCACGGTTGTGATGCATCTCCTTCATTCCATTTCTAGACCGTGTGAGCTGCTAACAGGTTGCACCCGTATCTTCCACTCTAGGCACAGGTCCTGATGCGCAGCAGCTTTCAATCAGTTTCTGCTGAATTACATTTTTGCCCCCATCCCACTCAGGGGACTTCAAGGGGCTGCTAAGAAACTGCTCAGTCCCACCGTGAAGGTTTGTGACCCCCGAGGGAGGGTCCTGGCTCCGTGGAGGCAGTGACAGGCAGCATCCTGTGTGGGGATGGTGGTGATGATGGTGACAGTGGGCTCCGTCCGCGGCTGTTGCGCCTGCTTGATGTGTATTGTTAATCCTCACTCTAAGAGGCAGTGAAGGAGACAGTGGGTAAGCCGTCTGGCGCCAGGCTTCCATAGAGTGCTAGTAAACCTGAGTTCTCTTCCCTTCTCCGTCCCTACACATGACATTTTTATTTTGTTGGTTTATTTGGTTTTTGCCAAGAAATCAAGGAGTGGCTAAGTTCACACCAGGCATAACTTGGATTCTTGTTCTCTGGGGTTTGCTCTGAGAGGCCTAAATCTATCCAAGTCACAGGATGTCAGTCGCAGGCACTGTTACCACACAGGCAAACGGTCTCTCCGAGGATGCCACCCACCCACCTCTCGAAGTTGCCAGAAGATGCTTGACGTTTCCCTCCCAGAGACCTGCTTAGGTGCTGTACGCAGGTGGTGGTGTGCTGGTCAACCACCACGTACCCTCCTCAAAGGAGAGTGCTGGGATGCAGCATCTGCCCCTTTTTGTGGTGTAAATACTCCCACCCGGCCAGTTGCAAGCCAGTACCAGCAACGTTTTGGAATTTTTAGCAGTTGTCCCCGCAAGCTGCCACGGCCAGCTCCAGCTGCTGCTGCCTGGAGGACGCTCCTTTGGCTCACTAAGATCACACAAGCAGCGCTCCGTTCCTCCAGGCTGCGTGGTAACAGCCCGCTTCCCATTGGCCCTGGACTCAAGCCAGTTTGCAGTGTGGCAGAATTAAAGTGTAATTAAAACCCAGGAAGGTTGTGAGCTTCGGCAAATGAAAATATAAGATGGTTAGTTAAATTAGAATTTCAGATAAATGGCAACTTTATTAGTACAAGTATGTTCCAAATATTGCATGGGATATACTTATGCCAAAATCACCATCTGTGGTTTATCTGAAATTCTAATTTAACTGGACAATAGGATGGAGCAGGCATTTGGAGCATGTATTTTATCTGGAAAGCCTCGCTCCTCAGACACATACGAGTGCTCAGAAAATTCTTGCGAACCGATGGTCAGGCTGAGAGTGTGGTGATAGACCGGGAGCTGGAGGTGTGTGTCTTCACTATCTACTATTTAAACTTAGAAAAGTCACGGTGACACTTCCTGTGTCAGCTTTCCTAGATGCAGGGACTCTGGAAGCTCAAAAGCACCGCCAGGCCCAGCACCTTGGACTTACAAATAAGGAAGCCCAGAGAGATGACTTGCTCAAGAATCACTTAGCTTGTAGCAGCACTGAGACGAAATTCTGATTCATAAGCCAGTGGGTTTGTTTGTTTGTTTGTTTGTTTGTTTGTTTTAAGACGAAGTCTTGCTCTGTTGCCCAGGCTGGAGAGCAGTGGCACGATCTTGGCTCACTGCAACCTCTGCCTCCCGGGTTCAACAAATTCTCTTGCCTCAGCCTCCCAAGTTGCTGGGGCTACAGGCGGGTGCCACCATGCCCAGCTAATTTTGTGTATTTTTAGTAGAGACAGGGTTTCACCATATCAGCCAGGATGGTCTCGATTTCTGACCTCATGATCTGCCCGCCTCGGCCTCTCAAAGTGCTGGGATTACAGGCGTGAGCCACTGCTCCCGACCGGGTTTTTGTTTTTTAATCCTGTACAATCTCATTTGAGAGTTAGTTTGGTTTCGTGGTTAAGAGCAGACTCTGGTCAGAGCGCCTCCGTTCTGGCTCTGACTTTACTGGTTATGTGGGCCTTATCTCTTTTGTCACCAACTTCTTTCAGATGGAGACTAAGCGAACTAATAGTGCATGTAAAGTCCTCAGGAAAGTGCATGGCACACAATGAGCTCTCAGTAAATTGATGCTTTCCCCGAAACGGCTGCCTGGAAAAGTCTCTTCCTTGTCTCCCCACGGCCCTTCGCATCGGCATCCACAACACCAGGGTTCTCCCGAGCTCTCGGCCTGGGGTGCTGGAGAACCCGGCTCTGCAGCGCCTCCTGCTGCCTGCCTCACCCTCCATGACAGTCAGTTCTGCTTCCGTCTACCAGGATCATTTTCACCTAAAGCAGGAATCAGCTCCGCTGTCCCCACCTGCCATGGGGCAAGGGTGAGAGGACTCACTGAATTTAAAAGTCAGCACAGAAGAACCTGTGACTAGCACTTCAACCCGATCCCTTCTATAAAACCGTACTTACATACTGCCCGGCCAGACTGGAAAGTCCTGGAAAGCACTGAGGGTGCCTTGAGCTTTCCACCCTAAGGAAGGCAGGAGGACAGTGGAGACAGGCCAGGCCTGAGTGGCAGAGATTAGAGAGAGCAAGGTCTGGAGCCGTGCTGTCTAGGCCCAGCTCCGGGGTTTGCCACTTACTAGCTATGGCCCAGTGTCTCAGGGCCTCACTTGCCTTCAAGTGGCCCTGACAATACCTCACCGTAAAAGGCTTGTGTGAGGAGTAAACGAGATGGCACACACCGTGCACTTGGCACTGAAGTCAGGTACCGCCACTTACAGCAGTGGGACGTGGGCAAATTCATCTCCATGTGCCCTCAGTGTCTCCGTCTATCAAATGGGGACAATAATCCCTCCCTCACTGGCCAATGGTGAAAATGAGAAAGACTTTGAAAAACTTCTGGCACCAAGCAGGCACCCAGGAACATCTTGCGACAGGGGAGCATCCTTAGCATCTCATACCGGGTGCTCGGCCAGCTTCTGCCAGCATTTACTTCCCCCAGTAACCAGCATGGGAAATGCGATGAAAGCCCAATGAGCTGCTGCAGCAGAAATGAACTTGGAATCGACCTCTTGTTTATTCCTCTCTCACATGCCTGCACCACGCAGCATTTGAGCCTCAGGAGCTTGCCTCTTTTTGTCTGAGTTAGAAATGGCCTTGTTTGGGATGAAGGCTGTTTTTGTTTCGTTTTGCTTTATAAACAGAAACACTCCCTGGTTTCTCATCTGAAAGGCCAAGGAGGAAGCTGAGTCAGGTGGGGTGGGGTGAATGTGCAGTCACTCACCCTTCCCTTGCGTTGGTTCGGCTAACCCAATCGCTGCACACTGACTTGCTCCTCAGCCGCGTCCAGTGTCCCATTTTATGCCCATTTCATTAATGACGTGAAATAACAACCATGTTCTTTTAGAATTCATCATGGCATAGTAGAAAGAGCAAGGGCTTTGGGAGTCCTAGTCTGGATTGGAATTCCAGCCCCACCCCTTGGTAACTGAGCGGGCAAGTCAGGAAATGGTGGAGCCAGGCTGTCACTCGCCAAGTGATGGTAGCGCCTGTGGGAAAGCACAGTGGAACTGAAGTGTCCTGATGATGCCACCTTCTCTTCCCTTTCAGAACGATATCCCAGGTCCTGGGTCCTACAATGTCATTCACCAGTCGCCCGTGTCCAACAGTGTCTCGTTGTCCAAGAAAGGAACATGCACGTTTCCCTCGACGGTGAGAGCCACTTCTCTTGAGTAAAGCATGAACTGGTCCGTAATTTCCTTCATTCATTGAGTAATTGTATATTGGACATCTGGTCCTTTCTCTCCAAAGGCCCATGGTTCTAATTAGGAGAGTCACTGCCTCCTCAAATTTCATGCAGGTAAATTGGACCCTGTGTCTCTAAGTAACTTTTGCCCAGCTTCACCCATTGCCAGGGTGGGAAGAGAAGCCAGAGGAATATTCAGAACTTGATCCTACCAAACCAATTTTGTCATCACCGAGTGGACTAAGCAAGTATTTTCCTGAGATTTTTAGGCATATCAGGAAATTGTTACTCTTACACATCTTATTGTAACAGGATTTTTACAATGCTTAATCTAATTGGGTTGTCAAAGTATTGAGAAGTCTGATAGGACTAAAAAGAAAGACAGCAGTGGGCCTGAAATGTACTGGCCCCACCCCCATTCCTTCTCTTTGTAAGAGATGGGACTTTATTTTTGTTGAGGACTGTAACAATCAAGTAGCTATATGAATTGCCAATGACCCTGACCGGAGTTGGGCAAAGATAGGCTTCTTCTTAAAAATATTTATCAATGGTCAAGAAAAATAGATACAGCAAAGGGAAAGATACGAACGAGGGTAAGGCTACCTGACGAAGAAAAGCGAGAAGTGGACAGGCACGGTGGCTCATGCTTATAATGCTAGCACTTTGGGAGGCCAATGCAGGAGGATCACTTAAGCCCAGGAGTTCAAGACCAGCCTCGGCAACATAGTGAGACCCCATCTCTACAAAATAATTTAAAAATTAGCCAGGAGTGGTGATGTGTGCCTATAGTCCCAGCTACTCGGGAGGCTGAGGTGGGAGGACCACTTGAGCCCAAGAGGTTGAGGCTGCAGTGAACTATGATTGCACTATCACACTCCTGATAGAGGGAGACTGTCTCAAAAACAGGTGAAAAAGAAAGCAAGCCCAGACTCTAACATTAAATTAACAAACATATGCTATCTTACCTCTTTTAAAAAGTTGTAATAATTTCTTGCACAGATATATTATAATGCCTGACATTGGAACTTTTATTTATTTATTAATTTTGAGATGGAGTCTTGCTCTGCTGCCCAGACTAGAGTGCAATGGCACAGTCTAGACTCACTGCAACCTGCGCCTCCTGGGTTCAAGCAATTCTCCTGCCTCAGCCTCCCAAGTAGCTGGAACTACAGGTGGGTGCCACCATAGTCAGCTAATTTTTGTATTTTTAGTAGAGGTGGGGTTTCACCATGTTGGCCAGGCTGGTCTCAAACCCCTGACCCCGTGATCTGCCTGCCTGGGCCTCCCAAAGTGCTGGGATAATAGGTGTGAGCCACTGTGCCAGCCTGATTTTTTTTTTAACCACACGAAAGGACCATTTAAGACACACTGAATGTAGCCACGTCTTATTGGAATTCGGATTTGGCAGAGATGGATATTCAAGGAACAGACCAGCTTTGGAGTGAACGCCCCATTACTGAAGAAGCTGAGTCTGTGTATGGCCTCGGTAGGTTCACACAACAGCCATGCCTCTACCTATTCTTCTACCACCAGCTCTGCTAGGACAGAAACTCAAAAGAAGTGCCGTCTCATGAAGTCCTGGCTTAGAAGACAAGACTTAAGACCTGATCCTGACTCAGCTGTGGATTCTTGACGTGACCTCAAGCACGTCACCCTTCTGTGTCCCAGTTGCCTCATGAAAGTGGAGGCTCCCTGGAGGCACTGGGCAAATTAACGTTGCAATGAGTGAAATACTCTTTGAAACAGCAAAGCACTATAAACATGCTAAATATTATGATTGTTACCACCTGAGTCACAAACAATACTTCCTGCAACACCTAGGTTTTCTCCCCGAGAACTTCTTTGCTAAATAATGGCACTGCCCATTCCTTCTTGGTGCCAAAAAAGAGACTGAATCAGAGCACGCAATCGGTTCTCTACTGGGTTTTGCACGCAGTAACTTTCCAAATGAAAAGCCGGACCCTCTGGAGGAGAAGGCGCCCCAGGAAAGATCTGAGTGTTGTAGAACCTAGCCATGCCTTCCAGGCCTTTAAAAAATTCAGAACCAAACCCCAAAGAAGGTAGACTTTGAATTGCTCAGGCTTCCTCTTCTCCTCCCTTTGACAAATATGGGATTTGTATTTACAGTTATGTTACACTCAAGTATAAGCACTGAAGGTCCTATACCTGAGTGGGTGCCTGATAGAGCTTTATCAGGAGATCCCTGCCTCTTACCACCTTCCTGGATGAACTGGATGAGAATTTCATATCCTCCCACCCCACTGCCTCTTTCAGTAACTTTCATCTTCAGCCCCTCCTCCACTTCTAGATCCCAAGACTTGGAGGGAATTAAAAGTAGCTCTCATCAGAGAAAAATCGGAATGACGAGTAGGGATGTGATTATGGATAAGGCTGACCAGAAAACTCTGTGGGTCTATACGTTTTAGAAACCTCCTCATGACTGTTGAGACAACCACACCCAACCTTTTGAGAGACCTGTCATCTCTCTAAGTCCAAATGATATAGAGCTTTATTAGTATATTCCGAATCTTTGCTCCAGAATCTTCCACAGCACTGACTAGGAGAAGTACATGAGGTAGGAGGGTGGAGACTTTGATGGCTTCTCTGTATTTGCATGCCAGCAGGAGTGGCTCTAGAAAAATTGGTGGGTGCTGGAACAGGCTCATAAATGCCAGCTTATGGCCAGATTGGAGGCCACAGGCCTGGCAGAAAACCAAGGGGTGTGTAGTGTTGGTGAGTGATGTCACTGTAGCCACACTCTGAGACTAATTCTATTTCGATGCTTTATAGAACATTGCCTCTACTGGGACTTTTTTGGGAAGAAGAGTTTTTCATTTTCAAAATGTAAGTTGTAAGTGTTCTAAACCAAGAGTCCGTGCTAGAATGTGCTTGTTATCACCACTCGACCCATTCCTCTTTAGAATGAGCCGTGTGATCCATGTCATGTGGTGGAGGCCGACTACTTGGGTAGGAATGCTGATCCTCTGCCTGAATTAGTGGAGGAAGTCCAGCCTCCTCATCTGTAAAGTGCAGATAATCATAAGATCTACTGCTCAGGGTTGTCATGAGGATTAAACACAAAAATCCCCCAAAGGTACTGGTTAACTCTTAGCCAGAATGAAAAAGGTGAAGCATGCGTTCAAGGCTGCGGTGACCTTACTTCTAGGAGCATCAGCAAATCCTGACGCACTGCATGTAGCCATTTCTTATTGGAATTCAAGGAACAGACCAGCTTTGGAGTTAACTCCCCATACTGAAGAGGTTGAGGTCGAGCTGGGACTTGAACCCAGGTTAGGCTCTGGACAAGAACACCCCTGCTTCTGTTGCTACACCCACCCACATGCCAGCGGTGGTCCATAAACCAGACGCTGAGAACCGTCACCACCAAGCATAGAGTGAAGTAGTGGGGGCCCCTACTGCCTTCCTTTGGGCTCAGCCACTTTCTGTGTTTGTGTAGTTACTGATTCCTATCAAGTGAGAAAATCCAGGGCAACGTTCTCAAGGTTTTAACCATTAAATAGTGGGAAATTTTTTGTTTTATCAGACTCCAGCACTTGCCATGCTATCTTAGGGGAAAGTGATGTTATCACCGAGTTTCTGTGACTTTTGTCCCTGTTCTTTTGACAAACATTGATTCTGTTTGTTTTTTAACTGAAGCTAATTTATCGTGGCTTCCTGAAAGGAGTGGGGTTGGTTTTGTTAAACAGTGAAAATCCTGGCAGATTTGATGAAAACAGTAATTTGGTGGAGGGCAGGAGGCATGGGTGGACAGCAAGCCCCCTGGAGCTCTGTTTGAAGCAAACTCATTGCTTAGGCAGTTCAGATCTTTTAACCTTAGAAACAAGATGTGAGATTTTACTCAGAAGAAAAGCCTAGGCCGAGAAGAGCGTCTGAAGCTTCCTATCACATAAATCACCCAACAGCTGATGAGTCAAGGGTAAGTGGCCTGGAACAAGATTGGGTGGAAATGCATTTATGGCAAAATCATTTTTGCCAAGTCCCAAACAGAAGATGAATAATTTGAGTTAGTTTACAGAAGCGAGTACAGGTCTGAACTTGCATTTTTCCAGGACGGATCCTCAAAGCCTGAGGTCAGTTTATCGTTGTTACCTGCCAGAAATTCGCCTTTTATAAAATGCATTTAAACCTTGTGCTGGCCGCCATCTTTTTGGCATCTGTCCTTCAGAGCCACAGGATGATGTGACAATACTGATTCTTTTGGTTGTCTCTTCACAGCGCGCCCGGTTGGACACCAACATTTCTAAATATCCTGCAGCGAACGCATACACTATCCCATCAGATTTTATTTCCAAGAGAGACTTCAGTAATTCGTGTTCCAGCATGTTCCAGTTGCCAAGCTTTAGGAAAGTTCTCAAATTTGAAACTCCTGCACCAAACCATTACAATGTAAGAGCTCTGCATGTGCTTGCTAACTATAGATCAAATGAATGGTTCACTAAACTCAAAGGAAGGGGGGATCTTGGGGACATCACATTTTAGTGCAGTTGTCAAGCCAGTTAGTTTGTTGACGATCCAATGGGTGCCTAAGGCTGTACAAGACTCTTGTTTTGTTTTGTATTGTATTGTTTTGTTTTGTTTTTTTGAGACGGAGTTTCACTCTTGTTACCCAGGCTTGAGTGCAATGGCGTGATCTCGGCTCACCACAACCTTTTTTTTGAGAGTGCAGTGGCTCACTGCAACCTCTGCCTCCTGGGTTCAAGCGATTCTTCTGCCTCTGTCTCCCAAGTAGCTGGGATTGCAAGCGCTCGCTACCACGCCCGTCTAATTTTTGTATTTTTAGTAGAGACGGGGTTTCACGATGTTGAGCAGGCTGGTCTTGCACTCCTGAGCTTGTGATCCACCCGCCTTGGCCTCCCAAAGTGCTGGGATAACAGGCATGAGCCACCGCGCCCAGCCGGCTATACAAGACTCTTACAGGGAATTTGTAAACCCCAGAGAGCAAGGTGGGCAACATGGAGGCCATTATGAATCTGTGGAGAGACCACTGCCCTGAGAAACACATACTCTAATTGGTCTCGTCCTGTAGCCTTCCTGGGACATAGTTTTCTCATCTGTAACAATGGGTGGATCAGTTACCACTTATCTGCAGCCACTAGTGATTTACTTTTTCTGTTCTAGGGAAAAGAAACTTCTTTCATATCAGTAAATAGGTGTTTTAACAGCCGTGCCCTGCCGTGCCAGCTATGATCACTTTGTATTCACCGAGGCAGAATGGCGTGTACGGTTAAGAGATGGATTCAGGATGTTTGGTGTAGCTCTTGTCTCTGCCACTGTCTAACTGTGTGGCCTTGGGCAAGTCCTTTAACCTTTCCAGGACTTAGTTTCTTGATCTTTAAAATGGGGATGTATGTTCACCTCATAGTGTTAATGCAAATATTAAATGAGGTATCATCTATGCTGCATGCCCAGGACAGCAGCAGTCACCCAAGGACCGCAGAATACATGGAGCTTGGTAGAGCCATCTTGGTTAGCAAATTAAGATATTTACTTACCTTAAATAAGAGATAAGTAAGTAAGTCACAGCCCCCACTGTAAAATAGAATCAATTTTACTCGCCCTATAGGGTGATCATAAGGCAAGGAATGTGAAAGTACTCTAAAGTACCTAAGATACAAATTGTACTTAAGGTAGTAATGTTACTATGCCATTTTTTAAACTATTTTGATTGTATACATTTATTATACCATTTCCTTTTTTCCTGCATAATATTCATGAATAATAATTATTTTTCTGACTACAAAGATCCTGTCCACCTTCTACGATGGAGTTAAGCAATTATATATGTGTCCGAAGTACTCTCTAAGTGCCTACTAGGCTAGCACTGTCCACTAGAAGTAAAATGGGAGCCACAGAAGTCATTGAAGATTTTCCAGTAGCCACATCTAAAAAGAAAAAGGAACCAATGAAATTCATTTGAGTAATGCCTTTTACCAACAGATCCAAAATATTATCATTTCAACACTAATCAATATCAAAATTATTAATTTTCTGTTTGAGGAAGATTATTTTCCTTGTACTCGGTCTTTAAAATCCAGCATGTGTTTTATTCTTCCAGCACATCTTAATTGGGGCCAGCCATGTTTCCAGGCCCAATAGCCACATGCAGCCTGTGGCTACTATATTGGGCAGCCTTCCCTTGGCATAATCAGAGCCTGAAAATGATGATGAGGAGGAGAAGGAGGAGGAGGGAGTACTTCTCATGTACTAAGTGCTGGTCTAAGAGTTATGTATTAATCATATTTAATACTCACAAGTGAATCCATGAAGTGGATTATCTTGTTCCCAATTCAAGGAAAAGAAGGCTGAGGCTCAGAGAGGTGAAGGGACTTGCCCAAGTTCCCCAGTTTGAAGGCATCATTTGCACATCAGCAGGCACTGGCAGATGGCTGGGGTGGGAATACGCAAAGTCACCTCGTGCCAGCCCTGACAGGCTTCCCTCTGTGGATCCTGTTGCGCCTCTGTGCCAGGCTGATGATACAGCTTAGGTTCCAGCGAGGAATTTAGAAAAGAACAGGTACACAAACAAAATAATTTCAAACCGTGGTCAACTTTGAGGGACAGCTGGAGCCTGAGAGAGAATATGTGGGGATATGGAGGTGGGCAATACCACATACTTTGGACTTGACGGTCAGAGGAGGCTCCAAGGCTGAGACCCAAGGATTGAGGAGGAGCCAGGGTTGGAGAAACAGCATGTGCAAAGGTCCTGGGACAGCAAGGAGCTCAGCCCACAAGGACCTACAGGAAGGTTGAATGGCTAGTGTAGCATGAGCTAGGGGGAGAGGGGAGAAGGGGGTGCCAGACAGGCAGTGGCCAGTTCATGCAGGGCCCTGAAGATCCCAGGAGGGAGTTCACATTTTGTTCTCTGGGTTCTCTCCAACCCCTCGTGGGTTGGAGGTGTGGGGTGGTGTGATCTGATGTTTGGTTTGTTTGTTTGTTTGTTTGTTTGTTTGTTTGTTTGTTTTTTGAGACGGAGTTTCGCTCTTGCTACCCAGGCTGGAGTGCAATGGCTCGATCTCGGCTCACCGCAACCTCCGCCTCCTGGGTTCAGGCAATTCTCCTGCCTCAGCCTCCTGAGTAGCTGGGATTACAGGCACGCGCCACCACGCCCAGCTAGTTTTTTTTTTTTGTTTTTTTTTTTTTTTGTATTTTTAGTAGAGACGGGGTTTCACCATGTTGACCAGGATGGTCTCGATCTCTCGACCTCGTGATCCACCCGCCTCGGCCTCCCAAAGTGCTGGGATTACAGGCGTGAGCCACCGCGCCCGGCTGATGTATTTTTTAAAAAGCTCCTTCCAGCTGGGTGCGGTGGCTCACACTGGTAATCCCTGCACTTTGGGAGGTTGAGGCGGTGGATCACAAGGTCAGGAGATGGAGACCATCTGGCTAACAAGGTGAAAGCCTGTCTCTACTAAAAATACAAAAAAAAAATTAGCCAGGCATGGTGTCACGCACCTGCAGTCCCAGCTACTTGGGAGACTGAGGCAGGAGAATCGCTTGAACCTGGGAGGCAGAGGTTGCAATGAGCCAGAATCACGCCACTGCCTCCAGCCTGGGTGACAGGGCAAGACTCCGTCTCAAAAAGAAAAAAGCTCCTTCCGGCTGCCGTGTGGTGAATGGACTGCAGTGTGGGTTGAAGAGTGGGATCTGGAAAACCAGTGAGGAGACTACTGTGCTAACAGGAGAGAGGACAAGGTGTGGTCCCAGAAAGTGATCAGAAGGGTCTTAGCCATTGCCCTTTTGCCAGTCCCAAGTGGGAACCAGCCTGCTTGGGTGACAGACACTGGCACTGACTGTCCATGTGGCTGCCTCTCTCTGCAGCCTCCCGGTTGTACCTGAAGGATGTGACAGTCAGTGTTTCCTATGTGATTCTCCCCAACTCAGTGTCTGCTCCTTCACCCTGCTTCCTGTCTCCAATGACCAGCATGGGTCCTGGGATGCAGTAAGCATCCAATCAATGTTTATCACATCAAAGGAAGAACTTCCCAGTAGTATACAGCTGTTAATCTAGAAATGACCAATTCCCAAGTCAGAATTGTGTCCTTCTGCCAATAGATACATTTAGGTGTATGGTTTTTGTTCATTATTGTCTTAATATGACCCTGAAAATAATACACGCTCATCATAAAATGTATTCAAGCCCTACAGAAACCCATGAATTAGAACGTGGAAGTCCATTATAATTCTACTTCCCAAAGCAAACCACTGCATCAAAAACCAAGTGCAGGCCATGGCCGGGCACGGTGGCTCAAGCCTGTAATCCCAGCACTTTGAGAGGCCGAGACGGGTGGATCACAAGGTCAAGAGATCGAGACCATCCTGGTCAACATGGTGAAACTCCGGCTCTACTAAAAAATCCAAAAAAAATTAGCTGGGCATGGTGGCACGTGCCTGTAATCCCAGCTACTCAGAGGCTGAGGCAGGAGAATTGCCTGAACCTGGGAGGCGGAGGTTGCAGTGAGCCGAGATTGTGCCATTGCACTCCAGCCTGGGTAACAACAGCGAAACTCCGTCTCAAAAAAAAAAAAAAAAAACCAAGTGCAGGCCAGGCACAGTGGCTCACACCTGTAATCCCAGCACTTTGGGAGGCCAAGGTGGACAGATCGCCTGAGGTCAGGAGTTCGAGACCAGCCTGGCCAATATGGCGAAACCCCACCTCTACTAAAAATACAAAAATTGGCCAGGTGTGGTGGCACATGCCTGTAACCCTGGCTACTGGGGAGGCTGAAGCAGGAGAATTGCTTGAAGCTGGGAAGTGGAGGTTGCAGTGAGCCAACATCGTGCCACTGACTCCAGCCTGGGTGGCAGAGTGAGACTCCATGTCAAAAAAAAAAAAACAACCAAACCAAACAAAAACCAGGTGCAATTTCTTTCCTATTCTCTTCTGCTCTGTCCCTCCACCAATATGAGCGTTATGCTATATATACACAGTACACATGCATTTGCTTCTTAGATTTCTTTCCATGGCAATACAATAAATCTGCTTCCGTCTTTTTTAACCTGCTGACTATTTTCCTGGCCTCATGGGGAAATCTTCCAGTGACACACACTCAGTGTATACAAAAATGCCCCCTTTTCAGTTGCTTTTCTGTCTGGGCGAAAAATAAAGCTGAAGTACTGTTTTGTCTACAGGTGGCTTTTTTTCAGGCCAGGAGAACAATGGTTGAGTCAAGTGGTGGGGAGTAGAAATGCGGTAATCCTGTTAGCCACACTGCTTTGAAGTCTGCCAAAGCCTTTCTCTGCCTTTGCTGCCCCGATCCCTCGCTTGTGTATTTGAGTCCTCTTCCTCGGTACTGTGTTATTACCTTCTCTCTGGCAACCTGGCTCCTCTCCACACCCCCCTCCCATGTCCAGTAATTAACCTGTCCCATCTGGTCTGTTTGTTTGCCCTCTCTGCATGCCGTCTAGCCATTAAGGCCCTGAGAAAAGCTGAATTCCTCCACCTTTGTCAACACAAAATCAAAATGCCATCTGCATTTCTCAAGAAACATTTTTTTTTTTTTTGACAAAGGAGTATCACAGCCAATCACACCATCTTGGCGCTAGCAAATAGTTTCACTCATTCAGTAAATATCCCCAGCAATCGCAGGTTTAATTTGTATTGCCTCTGTTCGCCAATGAGTACAGGGGACTGACTGCACATTGACATTTAAAATATTTATGATGCATGTGTAACAGATGAATGATCTCAGGGTTTTGTTTTTTTTTTTTTTTTTCCTATTATTTTTGGAGTTCTGGACACATTGCAAACTCTGTATTTTGTGAGTTGACCAGAATTCTTAATTTCTGGTCAGTTCAGAAAAGTTGAGACAAGGGAGTGCTTGCAAATCTGATCACAGTCTGAAATGATACAATTTTGTTGTGTGCCCCAAATGCTGCATTTATAGAAGCGCTGTTTGAACAGTGAGCAATGCACCTAGGAATGAGGATGGGAATTGGTAGGGGTACATGTCCTGAAAACAGTGAAAATAGTAGAAAACCGGGTGCAGTGGCTCACGCCTGTAATCCCCACACTTTGGGAGGCCAAGGTGGGCAGATCATTTGAGCCTAGGAGTTCGAGATCAGCCTGAGAAACACAGTGAAACCCCATCTCTACAAAAAATGCAAAAAAATTAGCCAGGTGTGGTGGCGTGTGCCTGTAGTCCCTGCTACGCTGGAGGCTGAGGTGGGAGGATTGCTTGAGCCTGGGAGGCAGAGGTTGCAGTGAGCTGAGATGGCACCACTGCATTCCACCCTGGGCAACACAGCAAAACTCTGTCTCAAAAAAAAAAAAAAAAAAGGAAGCAAAAATAATGAAGATAATTTGCACGCATAGCATTACACACTTTAAAAAGAAAAAAGCACTTTCCTAGAGGTAATCTCTGTTGGACCACCCCGACTCCCTGGCGGGACTCCATAGCAAGAGGAGCTGACTCTCCAATCCATTTTACAGATGAGAAAACTCAGTTTCAGAGAGGTTACAGAACGGATGCAGGGCCACACAGCCTGTCCTCAGCAGAAGGGAGCCCGGAAGCTGGCCTGCAGCTAGCTGTGTGTTCTGTTTCTTGTTGAGTGACCAGCATTTTCTGGGGATCACGAACTCATAGACCACTTGAGCTGGGATGACGGCGAAGCCACAGTCAGTGTGACCTTTACAGCTCATATCTGTTCATTTGCTAAGAAGGACAGGTTTCCGTTTGATTTTTTTAATCTAGATTTGCCACTTGTCCAGGCACGATGACAAAGACAAAGAAAGGAAAGGCACTGAGCGCACTGGGCGGGTTTTCTCCCTCTAGGCCTCCGTCTCTTGCTGCAAGCAGAGAAACAACGTCTGTGCCCGAGCCGGGTTTATGTCAAAAACCCAAAGAGGATCTCTCGCCTTTGCTGGTAAAGGGCCTGCCCCAGGTAAGCAGCTGCTTTGCGCTGGCCTTGACCCGAGGGTTAATGTCCCAGATTTGATTTGCAGGGGACCTACTTCTTCACAGGGAGTCTTTGGAAGGATTTAGTCTTTGGGTGGGGAGGAGTAGGAGGCAGGTACTGAACAGACCGGAGTCGTGAGAAGACGGCCAGCCCTCCCCACCAGGAGCACAACGCCTGGCTCTGGAAATGCGCCTCCGACGCGGCTTCCTGGCCTCCCCTTTTGTGACCTGGCCTACCTGCTCTGGGCAGCCAAGTGGAGAAGTGGCTTCTCCCCCTCACAGGTGTACACATTCCTATAGCCCAGGTGCCATCAGAGGCCACCAGGGAGGGGCGGGAGATACAGGGTATGACCATACATCCTATTCCTTCAGCACTCGGCCGCCACATTCCTTTTCTCCTGCGCTAGGGGTGACCTCATCATCTAGTCATAAAACAGAGGGGGCAGGTCTGTTTCCAGAGCACCCCCCCCCCACCACGTCGGGTGGTCTCCACACAGTCTTGCAGGTCCGTTGCCATAGGTTTTCACTTATCCTTGTTTTTCAGATGAGGAAATGGAAGCTCAGAGAGTTGAAATGACTTGCCCAGTGTCACACAGCCAGTAAATGGCAGGCACAAGCCCAGAGGTCTCACTAAGGAGCCCATTTCCCCCCTCATTTAATTGCCCCTTCTGGAACCCCCAAGATTCAGGAGTATGCAAGAGCTTTCCTGCAAGTGTTTCCCCTGCTGGGCTTGGGGAAAGCTGTTGTGATTCTCCTGTGCCCTCTGACCTCCAGTCCTGGAGTGCTCATTATGTTAGATTATCCCAAATAGGCCCCACAGACCACGCCCCACCCCCAGGAGCCTTGGGCACCAGAGCTGTCCCAGAAGCTTTGGGCCCCAGAATCAGGAAGAGCAGCAGGGAAGGTTGCTTCTGCAATCACGCCTCTTGCAGAGGGGTGTGGATAAAATTGTAGTGTATGTCAGATTTCAGCAAATCCAGATTAAAGTTAAAAAGATCAATCTGAAACTGAATAACAAAACCAGCACTAATTAGGAGGCTCAGCCCCAGTTCAAGCTCCCCTGCCTTGCATCATCCGTGGGCAAAACCCCGCCTTGTCTATTTGTACAGAAGAACAAAGCCGGCATCCCTGGGGTTTGGCCAGAGTCCCTGTCAGTGAGCCCTGAGATACGGGCACCTCCACAGTCCGCCATATGTGCCTGTTCCCTCCTGGGAGGGATCCTGAAAAGCTCCCAGCCCCTTATAACACGGAACAGGAGGGGAATGGTGGGTACTAGCGTCTGTTAAGCTCCCCATGGGTGCCAGGGGCCTTACATTCATGACCTCATTGAATCCTCCAAAGCCCCAAGGAGCAGGTACTTGGCGCGAAATCAGGTGCTCAGAAAGTGTGAGCTATTCTTATTTTATCCCTACTTCACAAAGGTGACAGGAAAGCAGGTGATGGGCCCAGTGTCTCACAGCGGGATTTCTTTTTGTTTTTGTTTTTGGAGATGGAGTCTTGCTCGGTTGCCCAGGCCAGAGTGCAGTGGCATGATCTCGGCTCACTGCAACCTCCGCCCCCGTCCCCTGGGTTCAAGTGATTCTCCTGCCTCAGCCTCCCAAGTAGCTGGGATTACAGGCATATGCCACCACATCCAGCTAATTTTTGTATTTGTAATAGAAACAAGGTTTCACCACGTTGGTTAGGCTGGTCTCAAACTCCTGACCTCAAGTGATCCACCCACCTCGCCCTACCAAAGTGCTGGGATTATAGGCTTGAGCCACCATGCCTGGCCGATACTGGGAACATCTTTTCAGGTTAATAAAAATCCTTTCGGAACATCGTATTAAATAGATATACAGTATATTATTATATGATAGTACCATAAACTAAGGAAACAGTATTGTTTTATTGGAAAGTGAGGTTGTTTTGAATTGATTGCAAATATGAATAGAGTGAAGAACATCTATTCACAGAGCTCCTGACAACTTAGGGGTGAGACCGCTTCCTCCTCACCTCAGTTTTGGTCATTCTCTTCTTCCTTAAAGCTTTGAACACAAATTCATTTTATTCTGTCACAGTTTCTCAAGACAAGGCATTGTGGCATGGTGGGGAAGTGTGGGCTTTGGAGACAAGCAGACCAGTCTCTATATATTGGTGCTCAATACATACATGTTAGCTGGGCATGACGGCTCACACCTGTAGTCCTAGCACTTTGGGAGGCTGAGGTGGGAGGATTGCTTGAGCTCATGAGTTCAAGACCAGCCTAGTTAAAATAATGAGACCTCATTTCTACAAAAAAAAGAAAAAATTAATTTGTAGGACGTGGTGGTCTATACCTGTAGTCTCAGCTACTTGGGAGGCTGAGATGGGAGGATCACTGAGCCCAGCAGGTCAAGGCTGCAGTGAGCTGTGCTTGTGCCACTGCATCCCAGCCTGGATAAGAGGATAAGATAACAGAGCAAGATCCTATCTCAAAAAAAAAAAAAAAAAAAAAAAAAAAAAGATCCTTGTTGATTGCATGATATTTGCAAAGCAACCACTATGTACTAGGAACTTAAAATATTATTCAACTATCACGACAACTCTGTTGTCAGTAGAATTATTATTCTTACTTTATGGAGAAGGAAAACTGGGCTTCAGCAAGGTAGAGAGATTTGTCTGCGTCCCTGGTTAGATGACAAATTATTTAATATAATTTGGCAAATTATTTAATATCTCTGAGTCTCAGTTTCCTCGTGTTTAGAATGAAAGCAGTGATACTCATCTTGCCAGGCTAGCGCAAGAGCTAAGTCAGCGAAGTGTGTGGTTCCTGTGCCGCCTGCTCTCTGCATGGTGAGGATTGTCTTCGGCCGTCTCAGGCAGCCTTCCATCTGGCCATCCTAGAGTGACGCCACCTTGCAGCCATCGAGTGCGTTCTTAGGAGTAAGGTACCGCTCTTCACTTCCTTGAGAAGAGCTCCTTATCATGTCATAACATTTCTTTCTCCTTAGGGCATTATGACATCAACGAATCCCTTGTGAAGCAGTCGCCAAATATGATAATGTCTTGTTTTAAATCAAAAACCAACCGTGGATTAAAAGTGACGTCAACAGGCCCGGGACCCGGTTATTACAACCCCAGTGATGGCACAAAAGTTCCAAAAAAGACTCTTTTCCCGTGAGTTCCAATCGTTCTGATCTTTCTCTTGAAAGTGGTTGTGGGGAAGGAGCCCAACACCGGGAAGAGGAAGGGGTGTCACTGTGTGGCAGACCTCAGTGGCCCTTAGTCACACATAATGGTGCTCAACAAATACCTGTCGAATGCCTGATATTTATTGAGCAACTGCTGTGTGCCAGAAACGTAAAATGGTATTCCATTATCACTATAATCCTTTTGCAGGAATTGTTATTCTTACCCCGTAGAGGAGGAAGCTAGACTTCAGATTTGGTGGGAGATTTGCCTAAGTCCACACAGCCAAGTCCAGGAGCCACAGGGAATTCATTGGCCCAGGGCTGTCTAAGTCTTTCCTCATCCCCCATGAGGCTGGCTTCCCCTGATGCTGACATTGTTCTATTTTTATAACATACAATCTTCGCTGCAGTGGCAGGACATTCAGAAGCAATCAAGCTTTCGTAGTTTTATACTGATGGAAGTTTAAGCCCAGACTTTTGAGTTGGTCATACCTGCTGGATTTGTAATTCAGCTCTGTTGTTTTTATACTGTGTGACCTTGGGCACAGTTCTAAACTCTCTGAGCCTCCATGTCCTCATCTGTAAAGTGGGAATAATTCCTGCCTCATAGGGGTATGAAAATACATGTCTGACTGGGCGCAGTGGCTTGCGCCTGTAATCCCAGCACTTTGAGAGGCCGAGGTGGGAGAATCGCTTGAGATCAGGTGTTTGAGACCAGTCTGACCAACATGGAGAAACCCCACCTCTACTAAAAATACGAAAATTAACCAGGCATGGTGGTGCATGCCTGTAATCCCAGCTACTCGGGAGGCTGAGGCAGGAGAATCACTTGAACCCAGGAGGTGGAGGTTGTGGTGAGCCAAGATGGTGCCACTGCACTCCAGCCTGGGTGACAGAGTGAGACCCTGTCTCAAAAAAAAAAGTAAATAAAATGTATGTTTGGAATTGGCATTGCAGCTGGTGACTCAATATGAACACAGATTTTTAAAAGTAAATTCAGGGATTTGTGTTACCCTGTTTAGTATCCTGTACATTTGATATTACCCTCACCTAAGAGCCTTAAATATTCACAAGGCTTCTTTATTTCTCGAATGATTCTAGAACTTCTAGAGCTAACTGCAGTTAGGGTTAGTCCCGCTGTTACCTTCTCAGCTCTCACTCTTAGGTATCCCCTTCAGGCAGGGCTGACCACTGGGAGGGCTGACCAGGTGGCACCAACCATATATCTACCTGGGCCCCTCCAGAGAGATCAGGCAGGCAGTGGGAGCCATGGCCACAGTGGGTCAGAAGTCCAGGCAACCCAGAGAGGCTGACAACATTCGGCGTAGTCTGATTATCAGCCTAGGGCAAGGGGACCGCAGTTAGAGGTGAGAGTTGTGAATCTGCCAAGTCAAACTTAAGATCTAGAGAGGGGATTGAGACCTCAGCTGGAATCCACCAGAGGAGTCCCTTCTGCCTTCCGGTTCTAGGGCTCTGCAGGCTGGCCTTAAACAGGCTGTAGGGCTAGGGGCTGGGACAGGCCAGTCTCCAGAACAGCTCTTTCTCTGGAAAGTCTCTCCAAAGACCTCCCACCTCCAGGCTTGCGTGTGGCGCCTCCACAAGCAACCGTTCACTTACTCTGCCAGGGAAAGAGTTGTCAAGAGGACAGGTGTTGGGGTTGGCCGACCAGAGTATGAAACCCAGCTCTGTACCTTCCAGAGACTTCTCTCTGAGCCTCAGTTTCATGTTATTAAGTAGAGATAAGAATCTTATCTTGTAGGGATTCCATAAAGATTCGATGAGAAAGTGTTTGAAAATAGCTATTTCTGGCTGGGTGCAGTGACTCATGCCTGTAATCCCAGCACTTTGGGAGGCCAAGCAGATGGACCACTTGAGGTTAGGAGTTCGAGACCAGCCTGGCCAGCATGGCAAAACCCCTCTCTACTAAAAATACAAAAATTAGCTGGGCGTGGTGGCACATACCTGTAGTCCCAGATACTTGGGAGGCTGAAGCAGGAGAATTGCTTGAACCCGGGAGGTGGAGGTTGCCATGAGCCAAGATCACGCCACTGCAGTGCAGCCTGGGTGACAGAATGAGACTTGGTCTCAAACAAAAAGAAAAAAAGAAAAAGAAAATAGCTATTACCCTTATAATGATAGCTGTGGTTATTGCATTGGCATGGTAGCTCAAGCTCCAAGCCCAAATTTGGAAGCTTCTTCAAGGAAAACGGTGAATTAGCGTGAGAGTGGAGGCCACTCAGTTTTTAACTGCTTTATCTGGTGAAGTATCTTCTGGCTTTTGCTCAAGTTTGAACAGGTGGTTCGAAATCATTCTTATTTTATGGCATTTGCATTTGTCAGTCAGAAGGCTCTACAGAGTTCTGGTTCTGTGCTGGAGGCTCAGGTGAACAGCACACCACCCCTCCAGCCAGCCTCATCTGGGAACAGCCTCAAAGCTGTGGAGAAGCATGCAGCAAAATGCTGGGTTAGGTGGCCTCAGGGGTGTGTGACTATGCAATCCCAAGGGGCCCTCTTCCCACTGGGTGCTGCAGGTCTGGCACATCCAGGGCTTGCTGGCTCTCTGCCAGTGCTTCATAAATAAAAGGTCTTTGGTTAACAAGCCTGGGAAGCACTGCATAGCAATCCTCTGCCCCTGAGAACATTGCAGTCCATCCTCACAGGCATATTAAAGGCTCTGAGAAGGTCTGCAGTAAAGGAACCTATTAACCTGATGTCTTCTAAACTTGGGTTTACCCTGATGAGTGAATGGTGCCCAGGCTCTACAATAGGACATTTGTGTAGCTGGCTCTGTGGTCTGGGGCTGCTCTAGGCACCTCTCTGGGTCTTCATTTCTCTACAAGTGAAAAGAAGGGTATCTGCCTTTCTGACACATTAGAATCCCAGGTTTGCTCACCGTGACACTCAGGAGGGCACACAGGGGGCAATGAAAGCGGAGCCAGCCTGGACCCACAGAGGAGGTCCAGATTATGTACTTTAACATTAATATGGAAAAGATAAAGGTAAGAAATCTATAATTTTATTTGGAAAGCAAGAAGATAAGACTGGTGGGCTTTGGAGTATTCTAAAAAAAAAAAAAAAAAGCAACCATCTGTTCCTGGTGAATGACAAAGAAAATGATGTCATGAAAAGAAAAGACAGCTGAGTATCAGAAGCAAGTGAAGAATCTGGGAATCACGGGTGGATGGGGGTTGAAGGCAGTCTAGGTGCTCAGCCTCTGTCTCCTGTGTCCCAGTTCCCGCCACAGCAGCTACAGCTTTCCCTATTCCACACTTTGCTCCTGCTGTTCCCTCTACTGGAAATGCCCTTCCCCACCTGAAAATTTTCTGGATTTCTGGAGGAAATATCCAAAATCCAGTTTCTCAAATTCCAATTCTGTTTCCTCCTGTGTCCCTGGAGGGAAGAGAGGGACAGGAGCCACGGGGGTCCTGAGATCGGTAGGCCCCTGAGAGTGACGCCATCTGCATGCAGTTTCCCTTAGGACTGTGTCCACATCAGACCTAATCCTCTTTAGCTCTCCATGGCTACATGGAGCAGCGGTGACTCACTGCCACTTTTCTCATTTGGGAACACACATGAGCCACGCAGCAGGAGACCTGCCCTCATCTGCCTTGGGTTGGAGTTGATGGGCTCCTCATTCTTGGGCAGAGTTATGGCTACAGAAATGTTCTTCTGGATCTGCTTTCTTCAGAGTGCAGGAAGAATCAGTGCAGATGTGAATTCTCCCTGGAGGTTTTAGTCCCATGTTACTGGCCAAAAAATGTAAAGCCCAGCCGTGTGAGGATGGGTGGATATGATCAAAGCTCAGGAGGCGGCTGTTAGGGCAGGGGAACAGCTGACCACATCTCCCGGGGAGGCCATGGAGGCTGCATGGGCAGTGGGTTAGCACAGGCCCCGTGGAAACTCCACTTTCCCCGCTCACCAGCACTGTGGGCCTGGGGGAAGGAAGGTCACTTAACTCCCAGTGAATTCAGAGTCATCCTTGGTGAACTGGGATAAGAACATCTCATCATGTGGTTGCAAGGATAAAAGGCGATAACTCACATAACTCATAGGGTAACCTGTACTTTTATCAAACAGGTGAGTGGGTCCTCTGTGTCGTCCTAGGGTTTCTAGTGTGGCCCTGTAGGGCGGATGCTGTGTGAGGGGCTGGCTGGCGGTGAGCACTGGCGTTTCTGGCTCCTTAGCTAAAGGTCACGCCATCAGGTGTTCCGTGGCCATGGCCACCTTGCTGACTCAAAAGCTAAGAGGATTTCTCAGCTTCCAGGGTGCCTTCAGAAGCAAAGGGAAGTGTCAGCCAAGGTTTCACTTCTTGAGGTCTTCGATATCTGTCCCAGTGGCGACTCAGTGACTTCGGGTGAGTCAGGGTGAGGGTTTTGGAGATCAAAATAGCTCCTCCTAGGCGATGCCTTCCGACACACTCCCCAGCGGAGGCGTAATGCTCGGGCTGTCTTTCTAACCCTTGATCTGCATCCTGGAGTTGTAAGCCACTGGATTTGCACAGGCACGCTGTCTTGTCACTGCCAGAGCTGAAAAAATCAAGCCCTGTTGGCCACACTCCAATTTTGGTAATTAGATTGGACCCACCTTAACTTCCCCTGGGATTTTCAATTAGATATGGGATGCTTCTTCCCAAGCGGCTGTAATCTGTCACCCGCTACCCTGTTAAACAGATACTGCATTCCACCCCAGAGGCAACCAGCTGCCCTTTAATGATGAGAAAAATTGGCCCTTTATCCCTCCCAACCCTGGGAATCCCTGAGGCAGAGTGAATGTGTGCCTGGGAGTGTCCGGAGGGTCTCGGATGCCTTCCCCAAGTGGCCTGCTGAGTCCTCTAAGACGTTCATTATTCCTGGGTGATTTGCAAACAGCTCACGTTGGAAGCTGCAAACACACTTAATCCAGTTGTGGCCAACTCAGAGGCTTTGATAGATGTTTTCTTTCCACGGGGCAGGGCCAGGGTGGCTTTTATAACTGAGCAGTGAGGCTCATAAAAGCCCTGGTCACAATGCTCTGTGGGTTTGATCCGGCCTGACCTTTGTGATTTGCCAGCCCCACCTCGGCACAGAGGGACCAGCCCTGGATGAGGATGAAACCGTCAGGTGGGCTCAGATGCCTGCACTCCTTTACCTGCTGCAAGCCCTCTGCTTTTCTCTGCACTTCAGCAAATGTTCCCAGGATAGGGCTGGGGGCCTCAAAGCTGAGGAAGACACAATCCCTTCCCTTAAAGAGCTAGGCACGTAAAATCCACGGAAAACGCAACATTGTAAGTGCAAAGCATTAGCCAGAATGTACCAAGGGCCACATAGGCCGAGCTGAGAGCTCTCAGATGTGATCTGGCATCGTCCTTCCACCTCTCCTCCAGGCGCATGTGTCACTCCGAGTTTACGGAGTGCAGGCTGTTTACAGTGGCAGGGCTGGGATTTGAATCCAGGTCCCTCTGCCTCCAAAACCCATTTCCAAAATCCATGTTCCTCTCTTGAGTCACAGGATGGTAACATCCAAGACAGTCAGGGGCGGTGAGACAGGGGTGTGGGTGTAGGAGAGAAGTTTTCCTGAAGGAAGTGAGAACATCAAGAATTGAATTCGAGTTGGTAGGGAAAGTTGGTGCCCCCGACAGAGGGGACGGGGCGAAGACATGGAGTTGCTGAAGCGTGCTGTGTTGGGGGTTTCTGGAAGGCAAAACGGAAGCGGTGGGACCATGGGAGATTAGGCTGGATTGAGAGGCCATAAATGGATCTTGCCTTTAACTTTTCATCAGAGTTAATAAGTGAGGAGGATCAGAAGCAGGTGAAGGACCCGGAAATCACAGGAGGATGGGGCTTGAAGGCAGTCTAGGTGCTCAGCCTCCGTCTCCTTGTGTTCCAGTTTCCACAGCAGCTACAGCTTTCCCCACTCCACGCTTTTGCTCCACTGTTCCCTCTGCTGGAAATGCCTTCCCCACCTGAGGATTTTCTGGATTTCCAGGTGGATTTCTGGATTCATCCTGTTGGATGAATGTCCCTCTGTCTCTGTCTCTTTCTCTCTGCTCTAAATGCAGTTGTGTGTGTGTTTGGTTTGTTTGTTTGTTTGTTTGTTTGTTTTTACCTCTATTCTAACAGATTTCGTTTTTAAACAAATGTTACAAGTAAAGCACTAGTTAAAATCCCTAAAAATCCTGGATGGTAGGTATCATTTCCACCATTTTACAGATGAGGAAACTGAGGCTTAAGGAGGTTAAGAGCCTTTTCTAAGAACACATAGCTGGTGAACAGGGAAGTGGGGATTCAAACCCAGCTCTGTCTGAGTGCAAAGCCCGTACTGCCTGAAGTTGCCACCAGTCATGACTGTTACTGGCAGTGGATTGCCAAGCCCTTAAGGACACTCAGGTCCGTGTCTTAGTACAGAACAGTCTGGATTCACAAGCATGCCTGGCCCAGAGCCACACACATGGCTGGCGTGCATAAAAGATCCATAGAGCTGGGCTGAAGATTCTGAGCCTCTCCTGGACATATCAAGGGAGTGGAAGACAAGGGACCCTCTCTAACCCATCTTGCCAAGAACACTGGTGAGTCATTAACTCTGCATGCTCCAGCCTCCTGCAGACTGTCCTTGGCTAGGAAAGCAGATACCTCATGGTTTTCTCAAAGAACAGGGTGGGAATCTTGGACTTGGAGTGACCCAGACCAATGATGGGGTGACCTCATACAATGGTTGATTCATTCCAGCTTTAATTTCCAGGAATCAAACCTGTCTCTCCATGATGCCAGCCACAAACTCATCAAATGTCTGGAGGTGTTTTGAAGGGGGAGCCGCAAGCCAGAACAAGGAGAAGCCAGTTTTATTTATAAGGGGAGAGGTTGTTGATTACACCCTATAACCAGTTCTTCCGTGCAGATTCAGAGCAAAAAGGGAGGCAGCATGTCCCCCACTTCCCTGTGGGTACCTTTGTTCTAAATATAAGCATCCACGCCAGCTGCTCCTCCCCCACAAGATGTGAACCCAAGCACGTTTATGATGGCTTTTGGTGTCCTCCCTGACAGAGGGAAGGGTATCCCCTGCCTCAGCATGACTCTGGGATGGAAGGCCCCTAAATCAGTCCTTTACAAGGCTCACTTGCTTCCCTGCCACCAAGCAGCACACAGTGGTGTTGACACAGGGCTCATCAGAAGAATAACAACTACCATCACTGAGCACCTACTATGTGCTGGTGCTCTGCTAGGTGCTTTGCATACCTTTTCTCTACTCATCATAACTCCTTTATAAAGTTAGTGTTATTGGTCCTTGCCATGCTGTGTACACTGACACTAGGCTGCAGAGAGGTCGGGGCCCTCGTCTTGCAGCCGGTAAGTGGGGTGACTAGAATTCAGTCTCAGGTCTGTGTGTCTCAGTCCCCTCTGCCATCATGCTTTCTCCATATTGCTAGGCATCAAAGACATGAGTTCTATGCCAGCATTCCTACGAACATGCTCTATAACTTTGGATCAGTTACTCTGTCTCTCTGTACACCAACATTTTTAGACAACTAAGGAGGTTGAGAAGACATCACTTGGGTCCCCTCAAGCTCTCTGCGTTTAAGAAGGTGTTGGGTAAAGTGCAGCAGTGCCCCCGTGGCCAGGAGTCCCCTCCTCTGCTTGGATGGGCTGGCTCCCTTGGTCGTTGAGTGCTGTGGGAGGCTCCCTTGGCCATTCAGTGCTGAGAACCTCCTCGTTCCTTTTGGTGAGAGGCCTTAGAAAAAGCCTTGGGCGTGAGGCAAGAGGAGGCAGCCTTGCTATTGCGTGGTTGGGAGAGTAGCATGATTCCTGTAACAAACCCAGAAGTTTCTGACAACCCAGTGAAACTTTGAATCAAGGCCTCATGAAAGGTCACAGCAGGCAGGGACCTCAGAGGTCATCTTGCCCAACTTCTTCCTTTTACTGAGGGGAAACTGAGGCCCAGAGTGAATTAGTGACCAAGCTAGGATTCAAGTACAGATCCTATTTCTCTTTCATTTAATGTTTCAATCTCAGAGATCAAAGGTAGACTCCCCTCCTTGAAGGAGGTGAAGACAGACCTGAAAACAATGGCAGTGTAAGTGGTAAGGGCTACAGAGTCTCTTGATTTCCAACCCAGTGCTTTTCCACTTCTGCCTCCTGCCTTGCCAGGATGATATAGGATTCTGGAACATCAGTGTTACAGTGGCCTCTAGAGACCTGCTGGTCTTGGGAAGGCAAATGTCTGGAATACGGGATGCCTCTTTCTCTTCCCTGCCATGGCAGACATCACAAGTGGATCACCAAGGCCTCTTCTCATTGACTCCATGCGAAGCTTCAGGGTTTTTTGTTTTTGTTTTTGTTTTTGTTTTTTCTGCAGAACTCCAGCCAGGCACTATCAACTGGTTGGAGTTGGCACATGAGATACACACTGTCTGCCATTCCTGATTAGCTCCACGTCTCCAACAATGCCCACAGAGCTCTCACTGTGTGCCAGGTCCTGTCCTGAGTACCATGTTTCAGGCACATCATCTCATTTATCCTGACAACTGTGACCTCAAAGTAGGTACTGTTACGATTGCCACGTGCAGATGAGGAAACGGATCCAGGGGTCCCTAGCTCACTACCAGTGGAGTTAGGGCTCAGGTGCCATGCCCAGTCCTCTTGCAGACAACTTGGTGCTGTGCAGGCCTTGGCTATGTCTAGAAACTGTACCTTCCCCCGCTAGACTGCCTTCGTGACATCTTCCCATTTTATCTTTCCCAAAGGAAAAACCCCATCCTGAACTTCTCTGCTCAGCCTTTGCCTCTGCCCCCAAAGCCGCCTCTCCCGGGTCCTGGTCAGTATGAGATCGTGGACTACTTAGGGCCCCACAAGCATTTCATCTCTAGTGCATCATTCGTGTCCAACACCAGCCGGTGGACCGCGGCGCCATCTCAGCCAGGCCTGCCTGGCCCAGGTCAGAGGATTGTTTCAAATGATGATCAAAACCAAATCTTCTGGAATTGTTCGTCGTTCTTGGGTCATTGAATGCCACTGATTCACGGGCTGTTTCCCAAACAAGTTACAGGGATGAGAGTAGATTTGGAAGGGTTATCAGTTCACATTTTCACAGTATAAAAATGTTTTGCTTTTTTAAGGTGAAAGGGCTCTTAGACATGGTCTGGGCCAGGGATTCATAACTGAGGACCATCAGTAACTAAAAGGCTTACAGTCTCGGAGTCTGGGACTCTGCAGTCGGCTGCAGATTTGGCACATACAGACATTATTTCCTGGGAAAGGGGGCCATAGCTTTTGTCAGATTGTCAGAAAAGTTCTTTTTCTTTATTTTTAAAAAACTTTTATTATCATTTTTTTGAGACGGAGTCTTGCTCTGTCACCCAGGCTGGAGTGCAGTGGCATAATCTTGGCTCACTGCAACTTCCGCCTCCTGGGTTCAAGGAATTCTCTTGCCTCAGCCTCCCAAGTAGCTGGAATTACAGGCACGTCGCACCACACCGAGCTGCTTTCTGTATTTTTAGCAGAGACAGGGGTTTCACTATGCTGGCCAGGCTGGTCTTGAACTCCTGACCTCAACTGGTCTGCCCCACCTTGGCCTCCCAAAGTGTTAGGATTACAGGTGTGAGCCACTGTGCCCAGCCAGAATTTTTCTTAAAAATATTTCAGCTACTGGTCTAGTACGGCCAGGTTATTTTACAGATGGGGAAGCCCTGGAGAGCAAGTTGGCCACAGTCCACGGTGAGTGCCTGGCCGCCAGTGCCAGGTGTTTCCTATTTATGCCTTGTTTGTTAGTGAAATTAACTAAGGACCAGCCAAGGAGCAGCTCTTTTCAGCCATCTCTAGCGCCATGCCCTTTTTACAGGCAAGCATAAGTAGGGATCCCCTGTTACATCTGGAATCTTCCTGAGAGTTAATATCATGAGGGACTCACTCCAGTGGGTGGTCTCTGTGCTTCCCGACCTATTTGTCGCTCTCTACAGAGCGCTTTCACTGTTACTACACCCTGACTGTGGCCAAAGCAATTGGGACCGACATGTGGCAGGTGGCACAGGAGGACAAAGGCAGAGCTGCGATGGCCGCCAGCTTGGTTACACTCAGCCTTTCTGTGAGTGTTGATGATGCTCCCATGCTAGGGAGCAAGGATGACGTGGGTCCCGGGCTTGCCCCCAGAGCTGCCGTAGGTAGGGAGACTCCTTCCCCTCCACACTCACAGATGAGACTAACATAAGGCAGACTGAGCAGGAAGAAGGGCGTTCTCATAGCTTTGGCCTTGCAAATGTGGTGATAATCATACCAGCAAGACTGTAGAGGTTTGATCTGGGACTCATCTGCTCAGTTGAGGAGAACTCAGTTTTGGCCAAACATGCAAATGCTCCATACAATGGGTGAACTCCAGAGAGGGTGGGGCACAGGCAGGGATCCTGGTTTGACCCTCCTCCGCCACATCCTCTAGAAGCCTTGCCCGAAAGCATTTTCCGTGCTGTGTGTGGTGCTAGGCACCCGGCACACAGAGACCCATGCCAAGGTGGGCTTCTGCGAGGGGTTTCCTGGGTACATGCAGGTGCCAGCATCTGCCTGCTCAGCTTCCAGTAAACTCAGATATACCTGAACTGCCATGGGCTCCCCCAGCAGCTTCCCAAGTAGAAGAACAGAGAGGCCGTGCATGGGACCCTCATTCACCAAGTTGGTATCAACACAAGAGTTTCTGGTCACCTGGGGCTGCGGTTCTCACGCCCTGCTCATCTCCTAGAGAACCATGTCCACAATTTTCATGGCTTCTGCTTTTATGGAAACCCCTGAACTAAATTAAAAAAAAAAAAAAAAAAAAAAAAAAAAAAAAGACTTCATGAAGCTAACACCTTCCTTCTTTAAGAATATCGCTGGCCGGGCACGGTGGCTCATGCCTATAATCCAGCACTTTGGGAGGCCGAGGCAGGCGGATCACCTGAGGTCAGGAGTTTGAGACCAGCCTGAGCAACATGGAGAAACCCTGTCTCTACTAAAAATACAAAATTAGCCTGGGGTGGTTGCACATGCCTGTAATCTCAACTACTCAGGAGGCGGAGGCAGAGAATCACTTGAACTCAGGAGGTGGAGGTTGCGGTGAGCCGAGGTCACACCATTGCACTCCAGCCTGGGCAACGAGAGTGAAACTCTACCTCAAAAAAAAAAAAAAAGTATATATATATTGCTTTATACTCGATTTCTTTTCCAATTTCATGGAAAACAGTTTTGTAAATTTTGTTCTGTTAAAGAAGTTAAAAAGAATTAAAGAAGGGCCGGAAGCCAGAGTTTGACTTGTGCCTTGCCACCTGGGGCCAGTTCCTTCCCCTCTGTCTCCCCACGCGTAAGATGCAGGGCTGGCACAGGGGTCCCAGGCCTTTCCAGCTCTGAGGTGGTAATGCCAGAGACTGCAGCAATGGAGCTTTTCTCTCGTCATGCCTCTGCCTCTCTCTCCCCTCACAGCCACGTACAAGCCAGAACGCCCAGGAAAGCAGTCCTTCCTCTACAACGAGGATAAGAAATGGATTCCGGTGATGTAGGGATATCACACAAGATCGAGGAGAACGCCGGCCACCAGCCTGCCCCACCCAGCTTCCCCAGGACATCCCTCAGGAGGAGACCGATCATGTGTGTGGCAGCTGACAACTTGGGGGATGGCTCTGCCACTCTGGCCTGGTGGGGTAGCTGGGCTGCTGCCATTGCCTTTATCTCGAGCTGGAGACATTGCTCCTGGAGATTGCACCCCAGCCCCACCGACTCCAGTGGCTTCCTGAGCAGAGGGAGGTGGACAGAGCCCCCTGGCTGCTTCCCAACACACCCATCCAGGCTGGCTTCTGGCACGACTCCCCGCTGCAGACTTAAGGATTCCTGAAGCACAGACTTCAAGGAGGACCAGTCCACCGTGAAGGTGGCCAAGCCTGGAAGCCCCACCCTTCCCTGTTTCATTACTTCACTCAATTACACGTTCATTCATTTCCACACTCCTGCCTTTCTCATTTGTCCCTCTCTGACCTCACTCACTCACGGTATGTCTGCTGGGTGAAAGCTACCTGCAGCCTGGTGTTGCTTTCTTCCACCAACCCACAGCTTCCTTTCTAAAGTGACCATCTGTTTGGAAAGGCCTCTCTTACTCCTTTTAGACCTTTTTCTTCTTTGGAGTGGGAGATCGTCTTAGAATGGCAGCGGCCGGGCTCAGGAGCTGCCCTTTTCCCTGACTTTCTCTAAAGGTGGGGCCGAATTTTCTCAAGGCTTCTGGAGCCCTCCATGGAGTCCAGTGGCCTTTCTAGGCAGGATATCCTTTGTTTCTTTATGTGGAGGTGAAAAAGAAATGTGCCCTGGTGGTTTCCGCGGCGGCTGCACAGATGTCCCGGGGGCTGGGGGGGTGGGGAGCTGCCTGGCTCCTTTCCTGATCAGGCAGGCTTTGACTGGGGCTTTGACTGATGCTAGAAGTCTCTCTGTGCATTAACCCCAGCAGACACTGAGCAGTTGCCAAGGCTCCGAGGCCTGCACAACCGTGGCCTGTCCAGAGAAGTGGCTCTCAGCCTTGACTGCACACTGTAATCACCTGGGGACTTTGAAAAGTACTGAGGCCTGGGGCCCTCCCACAAATGCGGATTTAACTCCTCCAGGGTGGGATCTGGGCAGTGGGGAGGAGGGAGGTGTGGGTAAAAGCTGCCCAGGTGATTCCAATGATAGGTGAAGGTTGAGAAACGCCACCTTCCAGCTTCCCAGCTGGCTCTGCTGGGTGGGAAGCTCGGGGGTGGGAACTTTATACACGTGCAGCACCTGCAGCGTGGCTGTGGTTCCACACTCCTCTGTCATGTAACCTTCACACATCACCTGGCTCTGACATCAAGGGTGCTGTCACAGCCACAGTGAGGCCTTGGCTGAGCAGAGCAACTCTGGGGCTCCACCGAGTCCCTCCCTCCGTGGCAGGCAAGCCACGTGGGAGCCCGAGACAAAAGGAAACATCAGTAACACGAATCCTGTCCTAAAAATTGTTTTGTTCACCGTGGATTTTGTTTCGGCCTGAATTTTAAAAATATTGAATTAAACTTACTTGATTATTGAGCTTTTGGGCACCCGTTCGTTTTTGTACTGTAGGCTAGAGACTCGCCTACCCATAGCCCTGACTCTAGGTAGGGCTTGGGAATTGGGACCACGGACTCTGTCTGCACTGGGAGATTTTTAGAGGCATCATGGTTTTCACACTTTAAAAAAAAGTTTTATTCAGACACATATTTATAAGAAACCCTAATACTTCAGTGGACCGAAGCAGAGCTGTGGTGATGGAGTTAGGCGGGATGCACGAGGCTTGCTGCAGCCCCTTCCTCACACTGTGGTGGTCCTGGAGAACCACCAGTGAGCCCTGAGGCTCTGAAGATGATAATTACAAACAACCAACAGAGACCGTGTCCTGCCCTTTATAGCGAGAAACGGAGGGCTACAGGTGCGGTGGCTGGTAAGTCTGCTCTCCCAAAGGAAGAAAGACCCGCTTCACCTTGGCAGCTTAAAAAAGATAAATGAAAAGAAAACAAGCCTGAATCTGTGATTTGTTCTCGAAGGAAAATAAAGGCCTCGATTTGTAGCATTTGTCAAATTCTGGCCGTCCCCATGGCTGATTTCAATGTGCCAACATGACCACACTGCTGCAGAGTTGGGAAGAGATGCATGCAGTTGCTTCTGTGAGCTGTAGGAGCTGGCTCGGGGGAAAGTAGCTTGGCCTAGAGAGTAGGGGCAGAGCTGCCACAAGACTCAGATCATATGGCTCCCAGCCCTGGATGCTCCCTGCTGGCCCCAGCTGTGAGGTCCTCTTTAAGCTCATTCTGCCCCCTTCCCAGGACTTTCTCTCCAGAGTCAATGATCTTGAGGCTGTAACATTCAAAGACAAAGATCTGGACATCAGGAATGTGCTGCCTGCCAGAGGGCACCTCTGCCCCACCGGTGCCCTGCACATCCCACCGTCCTTCAAGTCCAGGGCAACCTGCTGTCAGCCCAGAGCCAGAGTGAAGGGAGAAAGAGCAGCCAGGCCCCGACCACTGTAGCCCTCTCTTCCCAGCAGACCCTCCCAAAAGGAATTAGTAGAGCATGTGAAGTAATACATAGGTAGACTTTTATTACTAAATACCACGTGAGTATACAAAAATGCATCACTGAATAACTGCTAAAAAAAAGTCCAAGAAATGCGAAATACACATTTTTGAAATGATAAAAATGTATCCATGAAAAATACAAAATGTTGCACATATATACAATATATTCATATATATATAACACATAATGAAAATTGTAAATAAGAAATGTATACAACAGTGAGTGGCAAGGCAGTAGTTATACACAGCGGTCACTTTGTTCCAGTCAATCATTGGTGCTATTTACATCTTGCATTGAGGAAGTCTGTGAGAAAGAGACTCTTTCACTATAGTGTCTTTTAAGTCATTTGCACTGAAAATCAAGTTTTCAAGTTAACTGACCAAAGGGTGAAACATCCTTTGTCTGAAGTTGAAGGGAGACGGAGAGTGGGGCCGCCCCAGCCGGTGTGGTGCTGTGGGAGGGAGTGCGTGCCGCCACTGTCTTAACGGGCAGCCTGCAGGAGGCCACTGCAGACAGGGTCTTGGGAGGAGGGAACAGTCTGTCGGGTGGGTAGTAGCCACAGTGACATTGTTTTGGGAGGCACTGGCAGGAAGTTTAGGGAGCAGATTCCAGCATGCCGTGAGGGTTCAGGCCAGGGGACCTCCCAGGTCTCTTCCTGGCCCTGACATTGGTGGGTTTGTGACTTAAGGGCCTCCTCCCTCAGGGAAGGCATTCAAGTAACAGCGCTGAGGCATGTGGAGAGGTTGTGTGTGGCGTGGGGCCACGTCACCACTGGCCCCTTGCTGGTCGCGAGGGTTTGGATGCTCGAAAGGCCTCACAGCTCCTTAAGGATGATCTGAATTTTGCCGTCCAGCTCCCCCATGTCCAGCAGGAAGGCAACGTGGTTGCTGTAATGCTGAATGATGTTGTTGTCCATGTTGACTAAGATTCTGAAAGGGAAGAGGGCACGTGGTTGGAACACAGCAGGCTCCCTGTTTTCAGGCCTTCTGAGTGACAAGGATGAGTGATGGGTCATACCCAGTGGGTACCTGCCACATTTTAGGTACCTCACAAACTTTCCCTCTGATCTTCACAACAACCCTACGAGGTGGGGGAGTCACAGTCTCCTTTACTGCATGATGCCCGGCGGCCAAGCCCAACTCAACCCAGGCCTACTGGCCCCACAGCCAGAGCTACTATGCCAGATTCCCTCTTTCCTGGTGCACCAGAGGATGGACACTCAAGCAACCAGTATGTAGATCTGGGGAGACGCCATGCTCCCTCAGTCACCATATTGAGGACTCAGACCTGAAGTGAGTTCAAGTCCAGGAGGGGTGGTGGTTTGGGTTCAACAAGAGGCTAGGATGTGTCAGTCAGGCATCCCTGCCGGAGCCAGAGGCAGGCGCCACCCAAGCCCCTCTCTGTTCCATCCCCAGGAAGCTGAAATCTCAGGAGGATTGTCCAATAGACTTAAGGGGCTAGGCCCACTGTCTCCCCATATTCTCTAGGCAAGGACCTGGGTCAACCTGAGAGAGAAGGAACATTCGTGGCTGTGGGCCCCTGCAGGAAGTCAGAGCCATAGTTTCTGGCAAAGAGCATCCCTCTAGGAGCTACTCCTGATGAAAGAACCACCAAGATTTGACTTGAGCTGATCACATCAGCCTTCTCTTTGCCTCTTCCCTGCTGTCTTCTGAGCATGTAATGGAGTTGGGTATATCTACCCACTCATTCACCATCCAACATCCATTCACATGCACACCCCCCCATCCACCATCCACCTAACCACACACTCATCATCCACCATCTGCCATCCACCAACCCATACACACCCCCATCCACCCATCCACCCACACAAACACACCCCCATCCACCATCCAGCTACCCAAACACACCTCCATCCACCAACGACCCACCCAAACACACCCCCATCCACTATCCACCCACCCATACACACCCCCATCCACCACCCATCCACCCAAACACACCTGCATCCACCATCCACCCACCCAAACACACCCGCATCCACCATCCAACCACCCAAACACACCCCCGTCCACCATCCACCTACCAAACACACCCCCATCCACCACCCACCCACCCATACACAACCCCATCCACCATCCACCCATCCAAACACACCCCCATCCACCATCCAGCCACCCATTCACATCCCCATCCACCTTCTACCATGTGCCTACACACGCAGTGAGGAGATTTGGCATCTACTCAACCATCCACCCATCCACCCGCTCATGCACCATCTACCCACACACCCACCCATCCACCATTCACCCACACACCCATCCACCATCCACCCACACACTCACCCATCCACCATCCTCCATCCACCTGCCCACCTGTCCTTCATCTTCCCATTCATCCCCCGATATTCACTGAGGCCTTTCCATGTGCGGGACCTTACTCAAAAACAAGGACCATACAGAGATGAATTAGAACTAGACCCTGCCTTCCAGGAGTTTTAAATCTAGAAGGGGCTGGGAGGATGAATCCTTATAGTACCCCAGTTCATAGATGAGGTTCAAAGAAACAAAGTTATTTGTCTAAGGACACACAGTTCATAGATGGCAGGCCTGGGATTTGAACTTTTGTCTCTTTCCACTGTATCATTTTTAGAAGGAAACAGAGCCCTATAGATAGAAGTTAGGAAGCAGTAGATAGAAGGAAGGCAAAATCCAGGGCTAGGGGAGAGTTCTTTGAAGTGGCACGTGAGTGGCAGGCACGAGGAACCCCTGAGGGCAATGGAGACAACAGGGACCCGAAGGCATGGCCCACATCCAGTTGTCTCTCCCAGCAGTCAAGCAGCTGCCACTCTCAGGAAGAGCCAGGCTTGGGCTCTCAGTGGTCTGGGTGCTGACTGCCAATGTGTAATCACAGGCTCCCCTTTGTTGGGTCCTGCCTGGAGTTCCTTCATTTCACAGAGGGCTCTTTTCCTGGGCACTGGAGGCTGCAAACAGACTCGGGGAGACCAGAACTGGGCAGAGGGATGGGCGCTTTGTCAGCATCAGGGTGGTTTTGTTTGGTGTTTGTTGGGTGCTTCTAGGTGCCAGGCACTGTGTGTGTCTGATGTGCACCAGCTAGATGTCTGGGTCCCTCCCATCCCCAGCAGGGCCTCCCAGTGCCCTGAGCTCACACCTGCTCACACTTGCCAAGCCCACACGTGCACAAGAGGGCTTCCAGATGGGCCCACACACCCCTCCTCTCAGAAGTCAGTGGCAAAGGGCCCCTGAGAGGCAGAACCGCTCTCACCAAATGTGGGCCTCTTGTCACTTTCCACCTTCTAGCTGTCTTCAGTCCTGGGTCACATGAAACCCCTGGCCAGCTGCCAGCAAAAACAATGTATTTGCTCATCTTTCCAGTAATCTGTGGTGCCTATAAAGCTGATTCTATCCACCTTTGTCCAGAGGACTTCCGGGAGGGCTTGATGCAAATAAACCAGGCCTTTGATCAGAATTTCCTGTTTCTCACATAAGGATTTGGGGGGAGGCAGAAGATGAGCCTGGCCTCTCCTCTCCTAAGAGGTATTTTGAGGAATACTGTCATTCAGACATTTCAGGCAGTCCTGGGGCTGAGGTTTTCATGCCGTGGGGGTGTGTGGGGTGCCTCTGAAGGGCTGTGGAGTGATGCCCTGGGCTATGGTGCTGAGCAAATAAACTGGCCAGCCTGGCTGCACTCTTTATTTGCACATTGCTTAGTGGTTAGAGGAACAAGCAGGAGGCAGGATAACAGAGTGGATGCCTGTACAAGCTTTAGAAGGCCGGGATGTTTCTGCTCATGACCTCGTAACTACTGCAGACCTCAGTTTCCCCATCCATAGAAACAGATAATCATACCCAGCTCAAAAAGTCACTGAGATGATGCTTGGGAGGGATGCAGCCCAGTCCCTGATATGTAGGAAGTGCCCCATAAATGGAAGCCTTTAGAATTATGATTTAAATAGCTGGCTGGGGCTTAAGGGAAGGCCTCTGGCAACCCAGCCAGTGGGGCTGGGGACATCCTTGTATGCACCCCCACTCCCCGACCCCCACGTAATCACACAGCCTGGCCTGGAGTGGGATTGGTAACAGAGGCCTGCCACAGGTGGGGTTGGAGCCAGGGGGCGTGGGCACCGGCGCTGAAGGGAGAGTGGGGCTGGGCTTGTCTGGGCAAAGCGGAGCCTGCCCTTCGCCATGAAGTGGATTTCACCTTACAGAGCGTGTGAGCCTCAGTTGGAAACCGAAACTTGTAAAAAAAAAAGACACACAAAAAACTCTAGACATGCAGGCAACTAAAACCAATAAATAAATAAATAAATAAATAAATAAATAAATAAAAACCCTTCCTAGGGGCTGCAGGGATGGACACCTTCCCCCACCTTCAACCTTCCATGGGAGACTGGGTAGGAACCAATGAGGAGGAAGGGAGGCGGGGCCGGGCCTGTGAGGAAGAAGGCCGGGGCCCTGGGTCTGATGGCAAGGGGACTCTGCTTGAGCACAAAACCTGCCTTACTTTGCAAAGTCTTCTAAAAAGGAAGATCCCCATGCACTAGCCACGGGGTAAGCAGCCGAGCACCTCCAAGGGGCTACTAGAAATGCCACTGGAGTTAGACTATCCACAGCAGGAGGGTCAGATTGGAGCTGTGGGCAGAGGGGCTGGGAGTGCATTTCCCAGGGCTCTGGTTCTGGGGCCTCTGGGCTGGCAACAGCAGTGACAATTCCTCACTGTCTGGGGGTCTTATGCCAGGCTAGTGAAGGGACCTACTCAGGAAAAGGTGTAGAGGCCAGGTTTACTGTCCTTGACCAGGGGCCTGATGCCTGGAGGGCAGTTACCAGGTGACCCTACCTCCCTCTCGCACAGGATCTTCTGAGCAGGCAACAAAGGTACTATGGTCCCCAGGAGTCCATGGCAGGCAGCTGGGCACTGCCTGCCCCCTAGAGGGTACAGCTTAACTCCTGGCCTAGTCTCCAGCGAAGGTGGAGGAGGCCTGTGGAACATCCCTGGCTGGATTCCCTCAAAATGACTCCCAATGACAACTCCTTTTCCAGACTGATCGCCAGCCACTCCCTTCCTGCCTCTGGCTCTGCCAGCAGCAACTTTGTTGGGCCTGTCTGCCTCGTGCCTTTGATCCCCTCCTCCTGCCCCTGAGCACTGCTTATTACCTCTGAGCCTCAGTTTCCTTATCTGTCAAATGCGGACTATGGTATCTACCTCTTGGTGTGGCTGTGAGGGCTAAGCAGGACGTGCTTAGCCTCGTGTCTGACACGTGGTGGGTGGGCAAGTGGATGCTGGTCACTATAATCATTATCATCCTCATCAAATGGCTTGGTTTTCCAGTGGCCTTGAACCTGGGTCATCTGACACAGGACCCTCCACTTCTCCCTCCATACCACCCAGGAGGTCATATGTAAAGACCCTTCCACTTGTCTCCCACTCCCATCCTTCCCAATTGGGACCCATGTCTGGTCTCTGCCGATGGAGAGGTGACCAGGGGCGGTGGCCTGACTGGGGAGCTCTCCACCCCAACTCCGATCCCCTCAGCCCCTCCACCAAGGCCCAGTACAAACACTGCTCAGCAATGAGCAGCCAGCTGGGGAGGATAAACCAGGCACTCACCCTCGCTTGCATTTCTTGTAGACTTTGTAAATGTTCTCTTCAGGGAACCCATACTTCTCAGAGATCTGGAAGGAAAAGAGGTGATTCATTGTCTGCTGCCCACGCTAGATTTATACAAGTCTTTTATGACATCACTTTTTTCTTACTTTCTGATTACAAAAGTAAAATACATGCATATTGTGGACAAATATGAAGAAGACAATGACAACCATCAATAATCCTGTTTCTCAGAGACACCATTAACACCTGGGTGTATGTCTTCCCATCTTTCGGTCAAGGGTACAGTCGTGTGTACAGATGCTTTTAGGTTCCATGTGGTTTTATGTATCTTTTTACTCACCATCCTATTGTGAGCCTTCCTATATCACCACAAACACTCGACGAGGATAAGCCATGTGCCCAAGGCCTAGACCCCAGGTTCACTTACTCCATCATATCTGAAATGTTGGAACTTACTTCCCTACATGAGGAGACTGTGGGTCAGAGGCTTGTTGCGTGACCTGTCTGAGATCACACAGCCAGAGTCAGCCTGTCTCCCCAGAGCTTCTGAAGTTTCCTCTGGGGCAGGCAGGTCCAGTCTGCTCCCAGCTGTACCACCTGGACATGCAGAACTTTGAACAGGTCACTCTTACCTCTCTGAGCCTCCATTTCCTCATTTGTAAAATGGGCACAGTAATAGGATGTATACCCAGTGTGGTTCTGCACATGAACTGAGCCAACTATGGAAAGGGCTCAGCCCAGTGCCTGTCCCAGGGCAAGAGCTCTGTAAAACGTTGGTGCTTATTAGTAGTAGCTGCCTAGAAGCTGCAGCAAACCTCAGGTCCTGGGTATCAGGGGAGGTCATCCTCTCTGTGCATTTTAGAAAAAGGATCGGGTTCAGCTTCTCAGTTATTATTCTCTGCCCTGACAGATTCCTCCTGGCAAGAAAAGTGCTTAGACTACTATTTCTTTTAATGACGATGTGACTGGAAGTTACCAGGAAAATCTCAAGTCAGTCTAAGGAAGAACTCAGGAACTCTCTCACCGTAAATTGGGCAAATTGGACAAAGACACCATGGGTTGTCCCATAGGTAATAAGCTCTCCATTCCTGGAGGCACACAAGTCGAAAGTGGGCACCAGCTTGGAAGTGCTGTGGGAGACCAGGAGTGCAGGCACTAGATAGGGAGCTGACCCTTTAAGGGATCGTCCAACCCAAGCCTCTGAGTGTATATTTAGGTGACATTAATGGCCTTTTGTGAGCCCAACTTCTGGGGCTGATGCCAAGCAGGGTTGATGATGTGTAAAGAGAACAAGAAGCTGAGCATGATGAGAGTCCAGGCCAGCATTCCGGATGTGTCACCAAGAGCCGAGTGACCCTGACAAGTCAACTGACCTCTCGGAGGCTGTGTCCTCATGGGAAATCAGGAGATACGCATAGTACCCACTTTTCAGGGTTGTTAAGGGCACATGATGAGCCAGCACAGGTGGCGTGTCTGACCCACTGCCTGGCACATAGTGGGCCTTCAATAAAGGCCAGCTAGTGTTACTATTTGATGCCATTTTCCCTCTGCTGGCCTGAACTCTGGACACCATCTGGCTTTTCCAAGCGGTTCCACCTTCAGGCACAGCTGGCCCTGGTGGAGGCTGTGTTTGCTTAATTTTTGGCGGAGTCACAAAGCTAGCTGTGGGTTTTATTCAGGACTGGGCCGTTTTGCCAGCTCTCTGGTGGTTTAGGGAGTTGGGGAAGGTCTTCTTGCACAGTAATTACCTTCTGCCACCCCAGCCAGTGGCCCCCAGTCAACCACAAGCAGGAGGAATGAGGCCCTCTGGGAAAGAAAAAGAGTGTGTCTTTTTGGGTTCCATTCCCATTAAAACAGAAACAGGTTTGCAAAGCCAACAAAAAGCCCTGGCTCGTCAGAGAGCAGCCATCAGATTAAGGAGGATTTATAGAGTGTGCGACTCCCGGGGTGGAGTCAGGGTTCTGGCTGGGAGATAACATCGCAGTGGCACACCCCCACCGGCAGGGCCCCTCGGGTCCCCCGAACGGGGTGGGACGGGTAGGCCACCGGCATGCCGAGATTCCCTCCCGTGTGAAATCAGAACTGTGTGGTGAGAAGCAGGGACAGCAGCCCGGAGGGAGCCCGTGGGGAGGGGTCCACAGGCAGCTTACCGCATTTCTCAGCCCCTTCAGGTCTGGGGTCTTCAACATGAGCGCATCAAACACCTCCTCGGTCTCCCTCCGCACATACAACAGGACTGAAAAGCAAGGAGCAGCTTTAGGGGTGCTAGGAAGATCATGTGACCAGGATCATCTCAGGGGCTGGGGAATCTGAAAACATTACTGTAAGATGGATTTCTGCCAAGGGTCTGTGCCCAGCTGGTGGCACTTCGGCCAGCTCTGCAGATTCCCATGTGCCTTCTTAGGCTGTGCTGATGTAGGGGTGTCTGAATCCCTGCTCTACTACCTGCCAACCAGGTGACCTAGCAAATGTGATTTTAACATCACGGAGCCTCATTTTATTTGTCGATGGAGGCTCTGCCCGCTACTTCGTAGAGTCACCGTGGGAATTAATGACAGTGTCTGGAAACGCCAGGGGCAACGCACAGCTCAATTCACAGCTGCTGGAAGCTTTTGAGCTTAGCTGCTAGTCAGTTGCTTTCTGATGGTCAACTACAGCCCCCAGAGGTTTGGGCTGGTTCCTTACCCCAAGGAAGTTACAGATTTAGAACGTCAAAGCAAGAAAGCCAGACATGAAAACCCCACCCTTCTTTTACCCCCCCCATTAGAAAAAGTGGGGGAGAGGGGACTCGTCCAGCATAATGAGGCTGTTGACTATGCCAGTTGCCCAGGATGCCCACGTCTACACGCAGTCAGGAGACAGAAGCCGCCAGTCCTGTGTGGTCTCTCCAAGCAGCCTAAGGTGCCCTCCTTACACCTACCCCCAAGTCTTGACCTAAACCTAGCTCCAAGGGGTAAAGCAGCTTCTTGGGCCCTCCCCAGGAGGCTTTGGGAAAGCCTATGAGGGATGCAGGAGCTGGGGTGAGCTCTGTGAGTAAATGGGGACGGAGGGCGGGAGGTTACCTCTCTGAAGGTCGTCTTCCTTGGCCTGCTTGGAGGGCGAAGGCTCAAACTCCTCAGTGAAGGGCGAGCAGGTACGCTTCAGAGGCAGCCTGTGGGGGTGGCAGTGGGGGAGTGTGTGAGGAACCTGGGGATCCCTAGAGGCTGAAAGACCCTGCTGGGCCTCCAGGGGCCCTAGAAATAGGGAAGAAAACACGAGGGTGGGTACAAAGCAGAGGGACAGTGGGCAAAGCAGCAGGTCTGGAGTTGGACTGCCTGGGTTCAAATCCCAGCCCTGCCACGCACAAGCTATGTGACCTGGGTGAATCTCTTAACCCATCAGCGACCCCCTTCACTCATCACTGACCCTGTCTATAAAATGGGATGATGAGAAAGCAATGAGAGCAATACTTCATAGAGTGGTGTGAGGCCACAAGAGACCATGCTCACTGCTCTTAGAACACTGTGTGACGCACAGTAGGGCCTCAGTAAATGTGGTCTCATCATCACCATCATCATCATTCCTTTTTTTAAAAAATCAGGTCAGATGTGAGGCAGTGGGGGTGGAAGGATTGTGGGCTTTGGAGTAAGACAGATGTGGGCTCCAGTTCTGCTGCCGCCACTTAACAGCTGTGGGACTAGAAGGCACTTCTCTTCTCTGAGCCTCAGTTTCCCTATCCGTAAAGTAGGGCAAGAACCCTGCTTGCCTAACTCTGAAGCTGCTGTGAGGTGACAAGTGGCAACACAATTTGGGGTGAAAGCGCTATGTAAAAAAAGTACATTTTGTAAGGGAAGAAATGGATTATAACAACAAATGATCTTTATAAAGCATTTTCCCACTTACGAAGATTCCATATCCATGCTGCCCTCCTCTCAAGGCTATTTCCTCATCTGACAAATGTGTAGGTGGAGGCTCAGAGAGGTGAAGGGACTGCTCAGGGTACCAAGGCTGTGGCTGACAGAGGGAAGGACACGAAGGCCCTTCCCAGGCCAAAGTGCCAAGGGGCTCCAGCCCCAGCTAGGTCCCCAGGGGCGTGTGTTGGGGGAAGGAGATGGAGGGTTTCATCCCGGCTCAGTCCTCCCGCACAGCTTCCCTCTTTGCTCTCTGAGTCTACACCACCAGAGTCTTTTTCTTTCCCTTTTTACAAGCGAGTGTCTCGCCAGAGATTCGCCAACTTTTCACATAAAACAAACCCATAAAAACCCAGGCAGTTTCAGTGAGAAAGAAGCATAGCTCTAGCTTGGGGGCTGGGGGCAGAAGCTGTTGGCTTCCTCCTCCGGCCCCACACCCTCGCTTGCAAGGAGCAGGGAGAAACGCAGGCTGGGGGCAGTGGGCATGCTGCAGAGGGCACGGGTGTGGAGGGAGGTGAGCAACTGCTGCTCTCCATACCTGTTGGAGCTGCAGGGTCCTGCCGAGGGGACTGCCTGCAATGAAGCGGAAAAGACATTTTCCATCACACACAAGAAGACGAGGGGCCCCTCGGCTGCTGGAGGCTCTCTGGGAGGAATATTTTTTGGTGGGAGGTGGGGAGAATACTCTTACAACGCCTTTCTAGCCGATTCTACTCAGACAAGTGCCCTTAAGTGGCCTGAGATGTTGAGTTGAATCACCCAGCCCAAGCTGGATGGGTCAGGGACTCAATGAACACACAGGAGATGCTAAAGCCATGTTGTCAGAGTGGAGTCGCACGGAGCCCCACCTGGGCCTTCGCATGCCCAGGAGGGCTGGGAATGGCAGTTGTTTCTGCAGTAGTAACTAGGCAGTTGGAGTGGAGGACAAAGGGGGTGAGGGGAAGAGGCCCTCTTTTTTTTTTGAGAGTCTCCCAGGCTGGAGTGCAGTCACACCATCACAGCTCACTGCAGCCTCGACCTCCTGGGCTGAAGCAATTCTGCCAACACAGCCTCCCGAGAAGCTGAGATTATAGGCATGTGCCACTAAGCCTGGCCAGAGGCCCTCTTCTTGGACCCTACATTGTGCCTGGCACTGTGTGGTCTGCAGCAGGCATCACCAAGTCTCATGAAGTAAGAAGCTGAGGCCTAGAGAGGGCAGAGAGCCTCTAGAGATGACACACCCAGCAGGAGGCAGAGGCGGGGTTCAAGCTCAGGCTGTCTGTTCGTTACTGCTCTCCGCTTCCCTCTCCCAGGCTCACAGGTGCAGAGACGGGCCCAGCCCTCATCCCCCACAGGTTAGCTGTCAACCTGCCACAGGGACCTTCACCCTGAGTGGTCATGTCCCTGCTCAGGGCCTCTAGTTGGTGAGAGAGTGGGGAGAACCCAGAGAAGAGGTTCCCACAGCCGCCGGTGCTGTGAGGCCACAGTGTTCTGCGCCTGTGCCAAGCACTCTGTCAGCTCCACTGCCTCCCTCATCGTCCTAAGTCAATACACTAAGCATGCCTAGTACACCAAGGTCCATGTGTATAAACATTCCTGCAGAAACTGTGCGGAGCTGTGTCCTTACAGGAAGGAAGCGCTCGGACTGTCTGGTATGGAAGCACACAAGGAGACAGGCTCTGGGGTCTGGACCATGCCTGGGAAAGGGGTAGGTGCAGTCTCTCAGAGGACAGCTGTAACAGGGAACCCAGCCCACTCCTGGCTGCCAGGCGCTCAGCCCCGATTGCTTGAGAGGCAAAGCAGCTAGTGGGGAAAGGTGCGGATTCTGAACAGAGGCCTCAGGCCAGGTCCTGGCTCTGCCACTTACTAGCTGTGTAGCCTCATGAGGTTTTTTAACTCCTCTGTGCCTCTGTTTCTACCCCATGAATCCAGTGAGACATTATTACCGGCTTCATAGGGTTGTAGAGAAGGGTAGGGAAGGTGATTCTTGGGAAGCACTTAGAGCCACACCAGGCACACAGTGAGAGCCACAAGTGCTGCCATGATAATTCCATGTGGCTGCCATCAAACTGGGAATCAGATATCAGAAGCCTCCTCTTTGTGTGTCCTAAGCATGAACATTTCAATGGGTACGAAATCTGTTTCCTCATAACATTCTTCTCTTCAATATAATGGGTCACTGAAGCTATAGGACCATATATACATGTTGTAACCCCCTGGGATTCAGTAAAGGTATTGAAACTAGCCGAATGGCAGGAGGTGGCTCCCCACTGGTCTGGGCTAAGGCAGGCCCCACCCAGGAGCCGGACCCTCTTTCGGCTGCTCCCGCAGGCCCCGCCCACGGCCTCACCCCTCCAGAGCGCGGCAGGCTGTTGAAGTGCACGTTGGGGATGAACAGCACGGGCGGCGTCTCCAGGTCAGTCTCTGGCCGAAGGTAGGTAGTCTCATTGCCCCTGAAGCCGGAGAGCAGGCAGCCCTTGACTCCTGATGGGAGAAGGAAGCCAATGTGTCCCGAGGTCGCTCCACGCAGGTCCCTCCCACAGCGAGTCTCCACCTCTCCTTCCACCAGCCCTGGACCCCCACTGACCACTGTTGCTGGAGTCGGGGCACTTGACCTTCCTCCGGAACTGCTTCCGCTCGTCATCGCGCATCTTCCTCTCAGCTCCCTGCAGGAGAAGAGAGAGGGTCACCAAGGGCCTGGGAGGGGCCGGCTACTGTCACAGCTGCTGCTCTGCATCTTAAATAGGGGCTAGGCTTCTGGTCCTTCTTTTTCGAGAGCAAGGCCAGGAAATGGGAAGGTATCAGCACCCACCTGGCCCAGCCTGGCCAGTGGGGCCTGGCCCTGCTTGCTTGAGGTCAATACAGGCCATGAGAGAGGTAGACAGATATAAGACAGAAAAGAAGAAACTCGGAGAGACAGAGAGATGGACGAGTGGGGGTGCTGCAGGAAAGAGAGACGAAGAAGGAGGAGAGGGGATAGAAAAACAGAAACAGACACACACAGCCAGAGAGGCTAGGAGGATATATGGGTCAGGGCTGAGTCCTTCCACCTCCCCAGGCCCAGTGTAGGGTCCGCCCATTCCAGCCACCTTGTCGCAGAAAATCTTGATCTGGCAGACAGCGCGGTGTACCAGGCGCTCAGTGCCCGAGCCACAGTCATAGGTGTCAATCTGCAGGTTCAGAGGGACACCCTTCACCCCCTTTTGTGAGGAAAAGTCTGTGCTCAGACAGTTGACACCGATGAACACCTGGGGACAGAGAGGGCAGCTGGGTGACTGGCCTGCCCAGGAGGCCAGTCCCACCATCCCACAGTGATCCTATTTTTCTGCCGTCTGTGTGCTTGGGGCTCACCCTTAAGCCTCATGGGGCCCCTAGAAGGCATGCCTCAGCACTCCTCTTTCACAGATGGGGAAGCTGATGCTCAGAGAGGTGGGGCAACTTTCCCAAGGTGGCACGGGTGGTGTGTGGTGCAGCAGGGCTTTGAACCCAGGCTCACAGCCCAGGCTCTTCACCACGCTTGGTACGGCTTCCACTAGACTGCCAAGGGCAACCCAAGGCGGGGAGGCTGTGGGGGATGTCAAGAGCCCTTTAGGAGCTTAAGATCCAGAGACTCGTTTTTCTGCAACTTGGAAAAAGGAGGTGGAAAAGGGTCGAGTCCCCTGTCCCCAACACAGGGAGACCACTTTCCTGCTGACCCAGAGACACAGCCCCTCTCCACTCCACCACCCCCTCTAGCCATCACAGGACCCTCTAGTAAGAGGGCCTTTCAGCTCATTTGCTCCCACCGCACATACAGCAAGGGAGCCATCGTAGTCACCCCATCTTACAGCCGGGGAAATAGAAGCTCTAAGCAGGGCCATTAATTGCTGCCATTCCCCCAGAGAGTCAGGCGTGGGGCGTAACAAAGTGAGCTTGGCGGTGGGGCCGCCCACACTCATGGTGGGAAGCTGGGCTCTGCCACTCACTAGCCATACATGGCTTCGGACAAATCTTTTTACCTCACTGAGCCTCGGTTTCCTTGTCTGTGGAATAGGGATAATGAACCCTATCTTGTGTGGCTATGAGGGGTGTAGGCTTGATATGTTGTGACTGTTGCCATGAGAGGGACAGCTGGAAGTCCATCCCAAAGCCTGTGCCCAACTGATGTCCTCCTGGGGTCAGTCTCAGCTGGGCAGATGCTGGCAAGGTCACCTGGTGATCCCCCACCTTCTGTGGGGCTCATGGGAACACCCCCACCCCCACCCCCACACCACAGGCTGGCTCCTGGTCTTTGGAATGTTACCTTTGGAAATGACCCTGACCCAAACAGGATGTGAAATGTGTGTCTGGGCAGACCCCCTTCTTTCCCTGGCTGTGGGGACCGGGCCCCCAGGCACATGCCAGACATACCACCCCCTCAGCCAGCTCAGCCCTCCTGCAACCCCCACCCAGCTCGCACCTGAGAAAGACCCAAGCCTGGGGGCTTGAGAGGCTGTGAGAAAATCCCCACCGAAACCCATTTCTTCCTTCCCATGAAACTACCCACCTCCCTGAACCCGAGGCCCCAGCTCCTCCTCCAGTCCGCAGTGTCTGTCTGAGTAATAATAATCCCTGCCTTTGTGCTCCCTTTGTGTTTTCTGAGCTCCCGCACCTCCATCTTCTCCAGGCAACCTGGCCATCCCCAGAGGCAGGTGCGGAGGCAGGTGGGGAGGCAGGGGTTGGCTCCCCAGCCTGTCCAGAAATGCCCCTGAGATGAGCTAGACCCGACCCTGGTGAGTGAGGTAAGCTTGGTCCAGGGAGGGGAAGGGACAGGCCGAAGGTAGCCAGCTCCCGACTCCCACACCGGCGCCTCTCCACCATGCTGGCTCTTTAAACAGCAAACCAAGGCACGGCAAGGCCCATGAGCACACGGCAAGCCCGCAGCTGGGCTCAAACACTAAGGCCGGAAGAATCTTTACGGCTTAACTACTGGTGTGAAAACATCACCAGGGGCTCCATCTTCTCAGGCCCCTCCAGTGTGTAGACAGGCACGATCATGTGCGAGCTGCACTCCGATCCTAGCAGGCAGGCGACTGTTCTCACGTTTATGGGCTCAGAGAAGTGAGGCAACTGGGATTCGAGCCCTCAGTCACCGGACTCCTTCGCATTTCTCCCGCATGCAACACTCTGCGCTGGCCAAGAAGTCAGGAATCCTGGGTGCCCCCAGTGGCTTGCTTGCTGTGTGACCATGCAGAAGACTCAGTTTTCCCATCTGGTAAATGGGTGGACTGGAGTAATATCAACAGCCGCCATGCTTGGGCCAGGTGTGTGCTCTACCTGTTGTCTCACCTGCTCCTCACTACAACCTACCAGTTGGGGCTATGATTCCACTCCTACTTCATAGTCAAAACAACTGATGCTCAGAGGGACTAAGGCGCTGGTCCAAAGTCACACCCAGCCTGCCTGGCTCCGAGCCTGAGCTCCCGCACCACACTGTGTCCTGTGTCTTCCATGGGTGCCCACATCGGAGCAAATGCCATGATCCTGGGTGCAAGAAAGCCTCTTCCCCAGAATAGGCACTTCCGGGCAGCCCAGTCCCATCCCAGTCACTGCCCCCAGCACTGACCTTGGCCTCTTCATTCACGTTCCACACGAAGGACAGCGCGTTATAGGCCACCTCCTCAATGTGCTCCACGGTGTTGAAGTTTTCTTTGCAGTCAGCTGAAACCACAGGAGACCAGGAGAATCAGGAAGGAAGGGATGTGGGGCCACGTTGGGAGGGAGGCATTAAAAACTGGACCTCACTCTTGGCAGGGGCACACGTCCTCACCCCTGTGAACCACACTTCAATCCAGGGAGGAAAAGGGATTTCTGTGCCCTGGACTGCAGATGTGGAAACAGGTCCAAAGAAGAGAAGCAGATCTGCCCAAAGTCCCAGAGGGAATCCCAAGCTTTGCCAATAGGCTCATCATCCTGGGGGTGGAGGTTATGCTTCTCACCAGGACTGTGATTTGTGAGTTCTCACAGTTGAAGCCGCAGCAATGGCAGTATAGTACAAACAACAGCACTAGGGTAATAGCAGTAGCAAAAGTAGTATTAGCAAGTACCATTTCTTCAACACTTGCAATGTGGTAAGCCCTCAGTGAATCCTCACAACTATGCTATGAATATTCAGTTTATATATGAGGAAAACCAAGCTCAGAGAGGTTTGGTTACTTGACTAAGGTCGCTCGGCTACTAAAAGGCAGAGCAAGGGCTGGAGCTCAGATCTGTCTGGCTCCTGAACCCATGCTCCTCACGACTCTGCTATCCCGCCTCCCGGACAAGTCATTAAACAGTCCCCTGTGTGTCTCATGTTCTCCAGTGCACAGAGCTCCAAAGCAGAAATCAGCACTGCAGGCAGGCAAGGCAGCTGGCCTCAGCCCATTTGAGAGTTGAACAGACTGAGGCTCAGGAAGGTGAGGTGACACAGGTCACACAGCCAGGAAGGGAGTGTTGGAGCAAAAAGCTGAAGACTTGAGGGTGGGCTGCGCCTTCCACCTGTTCAGGGCTAGGGACAAGGACCAGGTGGCACACATAGGGAGCCTCTTCTCTTCCCCTACCTGCTGAGAGAGCCCGAGGGTGCCAGTTCCCAAAATGTGCTGTGCTGTGCCTCGGGCCTTCCAAACCACCTCCTGCCTGTACCTCATCTTGTGCATTTGCGTCTTCTGCAGCCCCCTGATGGGGACAAACAGGCCAGCATTTCAGGGCCTATTTATCTGACACTGCTAGGGTTCCCAGGGCCCTGTTTATCCCAAAGCAATACAGAAAAGAGGCCACAGCTTCTAGTCAATAGATGCAAATTCTTGCAAACCCCACAGTATGTGACCTGGAGACAGAGGGCAGAGTGGGGTGGGGAAACTGGGGTGAGCAACGAAGAGGCCTGATTGGTGTGGGAGCAGGGAGAGAGAGGAGCTGTCATGGAGGCTTGAGAAGGCTCTCACCCACGTCGATGACCCGCTGCTTGGCAGTGGGTTGCCGGGAATGCCAGTGCTTCCAGAAGCGCAGCTGCTCTACCGGGACCTTCTCATTGTCGAAGACAACCATCACCACACTCTGCAAGCACAGTTGGTCACAGTTACTCCTGGCCTCTTCCCAGAGCCTGGGTCCAGTGGCCCACCCTTTTGCCTCAGTATCCCCAACCCTGTGGCAATGGGCTATTATCAAACAACCTTTCCCCAGGGTCCATGGCTAGCCCAAAGAGGAGATGCAGCTCGTCCAATCCACCCCTTCCGAAACTGCTTCAGGCCAACGCACCTTGACTTTGTTGGAGGACAAGGCAAGGCCTTTGCCACCTGCTGGGGTCCTCAAGGTGACAGGGTAGAACTGGCCCTTATTGAGGTAGGCCATGGGTGACTCGCCCGACTTGATGTGGATGGCTTTGGGGGAGCCCAGGGTGTATTCAAAGTCACTGCAGGGAAGAGGGAGAGGACAGTGAGGCCAGGCTCCCAGGCAGGAAGCGTCCCAGAGGGCAGTGGGGCGGGAGGCCCGACGCTATGTTACAGACTTGTCGTACGACCTTGGACAATACCTTTACTTCCTTGGGCCCCAGTTTCCTCAATTCGGGGGTTCTCTTTAATGGCCTTATTGAGGCCCAATCCTGCTGAATAATGAGGGCCCAGTGAAAATCAGAGAGACCCTTAAGGGGTGACAAAGCCAGGGGAAACTAAGGATAAAAGAACCTCAGTGTTCTGATAGGGTGCAAGTTCTGAGCTCCCCGTCACAGGAACGGGATGTGGATATCATTATCTCTCCCTCTAGCTATCTGCCTTCACCCCCCACCGTATTCATTGATTGTGCCTGCTATGCTCTGGGACACTGTGGGGCTCTGTCTGCAGCCTCCTGCCCACTGCCCGGTGTCTGAGGGTCCAGGGAGACCAAGTTACCTTTTGAGGCTGGAGTAGTCCTCTGGACATGGGGGTTCTGGGGATGTTTTCAGGATATCTGGGAAGAGCATCGACTGCAGAGAGACACAGTCCCAAGAGAATAAATGGTCACATTCACTCTGGGGAGCCTCAGCCCAAGGCTGTGCATACAGCTATGCAGGTTGCACAGTGTACAACTTGGACAACAGTACATGGCAACCCTGTCTCAACTCTAGGACTCTTTCCCCCATGGATTCCAAAGCTCTGACCTGTTCGCTATGTTCTCTCCTCCTGTACATGCACACACATATCTATGCTATGGGGGAATGGGGGTAGACCCTCACCTCCTGTGGGTCATCTTTGAAGGTGCTGTCTGGCTGCCAGCGCTGGGTGGGTGGCACCCCATGAATGCTCTCAAACAAGGAGTTGAGGGAGCCATTGTCATATATATCACTGGTGGGCAACAGGTAGCTGTCCACAGAGCTGGCCTCCACCTTGCTGGGGCCTGCAGGGAGCGGAGCTGCCTTGCCAGGGGTGGGCAAGGCCCCCTCCAAGCTCATCAGGTTATTCTTCTTGAGCAAATCTGGGTACTCTGGAGTTCCAGACACATTCTCTGTCAGGAATTTCATGAGATGTGTGGGGCTTTCAAGGGGGGTGAGGTCCGTCTCATATTCCATGCCATGATAGTACCTGGGGAGAAAGAAAAGGGGCTGAGTATACTTCTTTTTGGGGGCAGTGGGAGGTCCTTGGCTAGAGTGAAAGGCAACTGACATGCTGGTCTTAGATCCAGTGTCATGTTTAGGCCCACCCAACGAGCATGAAACAAGACACTGTGGCAGCCCAGTTGGCCATAGGGTTGAGCAGGGAGGTGTTGAGAATGGAACCAAGTACAGGCTCAGGGTTAAGGGAGCAACATCTGTTTTATCCATTACAGTACTTGTTAATTAAAAAAAAAAACAAAAACCTGAAAGTTTAATCATTTATTTATTAGCCAAAGTCAAATGTCCCTGGTGCCAAAATGTCCCTACTTCAAAACAACTGTATTGAGTCAACCCCAGGGAAGTGTGTACAATAAGGTAGGGACGGTGGGAGAAATACGTATCTGTGAGTACAGATAACACGTGTAGAAAAAGGTCTGGGAGGATGTACCTCAAACTGTTAAGGGGGAGAGAAGGAAATCTGGATTCCAGGAAATCTTTTTACTTTATACATTTCTGGAGAGTTGGAACTTTTGCAAGAAACTGGTGGTGCTTTTGTAATCAGAAGATTAATGACATTTTTTTAAATTAGTTTTGAGAAATGTCCCCAGGTACCCAAACCCACTGTTCCCGGCAGTGGAGGGGATGGGCCCTGAGCTAGCCGCAGGCCCAGGCTGCGTGACTAGAAGAGCTGCAGTGCCTGTTTGGATTTTCCAGGCTTCCCAGCAGAGGCCTTACAGGGTCATTTGTGAGAAGTCACCTGATTGGCAAGGAAGGAGAAAGCGAAGAAAGAGGGGCAAGGTCTTCCCAGTGCCCATCTAGCAGTGAGCATGGCCTGGGCCACTTTCTAAAGGAAAGGAATGCCAGCGCCTTGGAGCACTAACGCCAAGCAGAGGCCCAGCAGGCCAGGGGAAGTATGGGAACCCAGATGTCCCTCCCCCACCCAGGCCTCCCTCCCCAAGAGGCTGTGGGGCCGCAGGGGAAAGGGTTTTGGAAGAGGAAAGAAAAGCTGCCTCCAGGGCTTCTCTATTACTACAGCTTTGAAGTTTGTTTTCAGTAAACTCCAGCCCACATGGCCTGCAGGCATCTGGGATACTTTCTGTGTGTGTGTGTGTGTCTCTGTGTCTCTCTCTCTCTCTCTGTGTGTGTGTGTGTGTGTGTGTGTGTGTGTGTGTGTGTGTCTGTGTTGTCGAACAGAGTTTCATTAGTACTTTCAAGAGCCGTAGGCTCTTCAGCCTTCACTGGCCCCTTCCAAAATATTTTAAAATACCTTTAGTAAGTGCATTGGTACAAAGACAAATATAATCCAAGTTAAATTATATTGTTTTTTTTTCCTTTTAATTCTAAGAGAAATTGAAACACTATCATGGACCCCAAAATGTGTTGTGGGCCCTCAGCACCGTGCCTCCTGTGCCTAATGGGTAAGTCAAGCCTGTGTGGAAGAGGCCCCAGGTGGAGGTGGGGAAGGGCAAAGAGGCAGAGGGTGTTGGCAAGCCTCACCTCTTTCCCTGGTCATTCCTGCCCCCAGTGCTGGAGGACAATATCCGCTTCTCCTTGGGACCCTGAAAGGAGAGAAAGGAAGGATTTATGCATAGCTGTTGGCTAAGGTTTTGCTAGTGGTAGCCTTAACCCCCTCCTGCAGCTTTGGCCAGGCAGGGGAGTAAGCTTGGTGATATGGTTCGGCTGTGTCCCCACCCAAATCTCATCTTGAATTGTAGTTCCCATAATCACATGGGAGTGGGAGTAATTGAATCATGGGAGCAGTTACTCCCATGTTGCTGTTCTCCTGATAGTGAGTGAGTTCTCATCACGTCTGATGGTTTTATAAGGGACTTTCCCCCTTTTGCTCGGCATTTCTCCTTGCTGCCGCCACGTGAAAAAGTACACGTTTGCTCCCCCTTCTGCCGTGATTGTAAGTTTCCTGAGGCCTCCCCAGCCCTGCTGAACTGTGAGTCAATTAAACCTCTTTCCTTAAATTATCCAGTCCTGGGTATTGCCTTTATTAGCCACGTGAGAACAGACAAATACACTTGGTCATTAGAAAAGCCTCCAGTCCTTTCCACTGGCTGGAGCTCTAGCCATGATTACTCTGAGCCCCAAGCCAGGGAGTGGGAAGAAGAACCTCAAGCTCAGTAGTTAAGGAGCATGAAATTTGGAGTCAGGCAGGCTTGGTGTAAGTCCTAGAAATACCACTTGAAAGTGCACTGTGACTTTGGATAAAGGACTACGCCTCTCTGAGACTCAGTTTCTTCATATGTCAAATGAGTGGTTATAATACCTACTTAAAGGGGATTATGAACATTTGCTTATAAAAAATAATCACTTTTTTAACAGAGTACTTCTTATGGACTAAGCCTTATACTAAGTGCCTTCTAGTCTCTAACCCTCACAACCACTCTGAGATGGCTACTAGTACGATCATCACTCTATGGATGAGAAAATGGGGGCTCAGAGAGACTTTATCGTCTTAGTACTTAGGAGCATGGATTCTGTTCTTTTTTTTTTTTTTGAGACGGAGTTTCGCTCTTGTTGCCCAGGCTGGAGTGCAATGGCGCCATCTCGGCTCACTGCAACCTCCGCCTCCCGGGTTCAGGCAATTCTCCTGCCTCAGCCTCCTGACTAGCTGGGACTACAGGCACGCGCCACCATGCCCAGCTAATTTTTTTTGTATTTTTAGTAGAGACGGGGTTTCACCATGTTGACCAGGATGGTCTCGATCTCTTGACCTCGTGATCCACCCGCCTCGGCCTCCCAAAGTGCTGGGATTACAGGCTTGAGCCACCGCGCCCGGCCAGGAGCATGGATTCTGAATCCAGATTTCTTGGGTTCAGTTCCCAGGCCTACCACATACTAGCTGTGTGACCCTACACAAGTCCCTTAACCTCTCCATTCCTCATATCCTCATCTGTATAGAGATCATAATATAACACCAACCTCAGGCATCATTTTGAGTGCTCAGAACAGCACCTAGCACATGGAGAGCACTATATAAATGTGACCTTTCACAAATATAATTATAATATTGTTACATCTTAGAATATTCTAATTCATTTGTCTCTAAGGTTGATACAGCTGGAACCAGGACTCCAACTCAGCACAGCCTCCAAAGCCTGGGCTCCTAATCACACCCCATGAGAGTTTGAAAGAAGCTGCCTGACATAGCAGTGGACATTCAGTAAGAAATTGTAAGTGGTTGCCTTTAGCACTATATTACCCAAAGCCACATTTGTGGCAGGACTAGGTCTCAAACTCCCGACTTAGTGCTCCTTCCACACCATCAGCCCAGTCCTCACTGTCCAGGAGGCTGCTCTGAATCCAGAGTGCTCTGGGATGGGGAGGCCAGGACAGATGTATCTCACCAAGACATTGTACTTCGCTAAAACCAGTATTATTGGTGTCACCTTCAGAGCCTGTCTTCTACCATCCTGGCTCTGGAATGGCTTCTTGTCAAGGGGACATGGTGTTGGATTGTTTTTTGGTTTTTTTTTTTTTTTTTTTTTTTTTTTTTTGAGACGGAGTTTCGCTCTTGTTACCCAGGCTGGAGTGCAGTGGCGCGATCTCAGCTCACCGCAACCTCCACCTCCTGGGTTCAGGCAATTCTCCTGCCTCAGCCTCCTGAGTAGCTGGGATTACAGGCACACGCCACCATGCCCAGCTATTTTTTTTTTGGATTTTTTAGTAGAGACGGGGTTTCACCATGTTGACCAGGATGATCTCGATCTCTTGACCTTGTGATCCACCCGCCTCGGCCTCCCAAAGTGCTGGGATTACAGGCTTGAGCCACCGCGCCCGGCCTGGGTTGTATTTTATGGTCCATTCTCAACCTATAAATCCCAAGCTGGAGTTTGAAACCTAGACCTAGAATTCTGGCTCCTACCATGGCCCCAAGCCAAGGCAGCCATTCAGATGCCTCTTCCAATCAACCTGGGCTGAACACTCTCTGGATGCTACCTGTCTTCTGGGGAGGAGGGAGGGCAGGGTAACCAGACCACTCCAGGAGAACCAAAGCCAGAGGACAGTTTGAGGCTTTCTCCTATCTGGAGCCCCCTTGGCTTCTAAGTTCATGTGAAGAATTTGTCTTTATCCTTGAGGTACAGTGGATAAAATACTTCTTGGGCTAGTAAGTCTGAGGTCTTATGTAAAAGGCGGCTTTAAATCTTCAAGTTCAGAGCCAGTTATCTCAACAATTGGCTAGTTGTATGCCCTCATCCCCCAATCTAGTACAGTTTCTTGGAGCAGTTGCCCAGCCCAGGGACAGCAAGTCAGTTTGCTGTCTTGTGACAATCCAGACGGATGGGTAGGCCCTGCCTGGACTACTACATTGACAAAGATTCTGCACCCTCCTGTGCCCTTCATGAGAATGCAGGCTGCAATCCATTAGCGATGTCTGGCACAGGCACCAGAGGTGGGAAGGGGGCTGTGTCATGTGTTATACCCCCGTGATTCCTGACTAGTCCAACCTCTACTTATCAGATAGGGGAGGCCTAATTCCTGTTCTCAGGAGCCAACAGTCTCCCAGAGTCAAGGCCAAGGTCCTGGAAGGAGTTAGAGAACAGTAAAAGACGTAATGGCAGCTGGAGTAGGAAGGACAGGAGAGGGAGAGATAAGGTGGCAGATGGCTTCTAAGAGAAGGTGGGCCTTGGGCAGGGCCCCGAAGGAAGGGAATGGGTTAAAGAGCAGATGGTACCCTCCAGGTGGTGGGGCTGGACCAGGTGGGTGGGGATGACAGGGAAACCTAAGAGCCGAGGGACAGGGGCAGAAAGAAGATGGAGGGGTATGAGGGTGTTGCTGTCGTGAATATGCTTAGACCAGGCAAGGGGTGGGTCAGGCATTGTCCACTCAATCCACATGTGTCACCCACTATGTGGCAGGCTGTATGGTGTGCTGAGGACTTGGAAATGATCCTCCCATAGCTCAGTCTTGCAGGGAAGACGGGAAAAAATAAATGCATGAAAAGCAAGCTTCTAAGCATCCTTCATAGCATCAAGGAAGATGATGGTGGTTTCTGAGGGCACCCAGATAAGAAGGCCTCCCCTCCAGTGAGTGAATGAAGCGACATTTAAGCTTAGACCCAAAGCTAAGAGTAGGGGTTAGCCATGGAAAGGGAGGGTGCCAGGCAGAGGGAACAGCATGTGCAAAGGCCCGGAGATGAGGGGCTGGGGTGGTCATGGTGGCCTGCTGAGCCATGAGGCCTGAAAGCGAAGACACCCATTCAGGCAGAAGGGTCATCCCAGAGGGGGCGGGCATACCATGTAGTAATCATACAGGAAGCTCAGGGCTGCAACGCTGTCATCGTCTCCATTGACTCTCATCATGGCCTTCGTCGCAGCTGTCAAGGGGTTTTCTAGGTATGTCTTCCAGGCCTCATCCTCACTAGTGTAAGAGAACTTCTGCAAGTTGACTGGGTCGTTCTTCAGCAGCCGCACAGACCTAAAACTGAATGCAAATAAGAGGGTCAAATTTAGGCTATCCCAGAGGAAGGTCCATGAATGGGCAGCCACAGGCCAATGCCCAGGAATTCAGTTATTCGCTTCGAAAACGTGAAACTGCCTCTTCTGCCACCATTAGGCAGTGTGGGGCAGCAGAATGGATACAAACTCTGGAGCTAGATCAATTCCAAATGTTGCCATGTAGACACTGTTGACCTGGGCCATTGTTCCCCTCATCCACAGCGTGAGGGTCATCATCCTGATCTTCAAGACTGCAGAGTGGATTCAGTAAAATACTTTCAGAGTATTTTTTTAAGTATACTTTCTCTTATTCAAAGAGAATTTGTGCCATGAATGGGAAATACCACTGACTAACTACAATGGGATAAAGGATAAAATTTCCAGAAAACCCATCATGAGTTCTACTGAAGAAATTGTCCTCAATACTGTGAAAGGCACAGAAGGCTGTAGATCATTTCAAGTCTGGGAGGAACTGTGGTCTATGACAGAGAGAGCCAGGGTGAGGAAGCTCTTAGGCAGAACCTGGTCCTGGGAAATGGCACTTCAGACCAATTTTATGGCAGAGTTTCAAGCAGCTGCTCAGAAGCCAGGAACTGGAGCTGAAGGCGGCAGGGCACACAGAAGCAGGCAGGGCACACAGAAGCAGGCAGGACCTGGGTACTGGTGCTGAGAAGCTTGGACAAATATACTATATAGCTCAAGAGACAAGGCACAAAGGCTCAAAGGAAAGAGATCAGGAAAGGCTTTTTGGAGCAGGCAGACATTTTAGTTGGGGAAACTCAGCACTGGGGATTATTTTACTCAGCAATGGGGAGAAGGAGCAGGGATGTAACACAGGCAAATAATGAGAATGGTAAAAATAATAGCTCTTCTTTATTGAACACTGACCATGAGTTAGGCACTAGCTAAACACATTTCATAAATTACCATGTTACTTGCAACCGCCCTGCAAGGCAGATACTATTATTATTCCTATCTTATAGTGGAGGAAACTAAAGCTCAGATAAGTTGAGACTTGTCCAAGGTCCCAGTAAGTGAGTGGCCAAGAGGGGATTCAAGCTCCTGAAAGGTGACGCAATGGTACAGAATAATGTTCTCAAACTTTAGCTGCATGAGAAGGACTTGGAAGGCTTGTTAACATACAGATTGCTTTCACGGCAGGGTGACTATAACAAAGAACAATGTAGTGTATACTTCAAGACAGCTAGCAGAGTAGATTTTTAATGTTATCATCCCAAAGAAATGATAAATATTTAAAATGGGCCCAGCGCAGTGGCTCACACCTGTAATCCCGGCAATTTGGGAGGCCGAGGCGGGCGGATCATGAGGTCAAGAGATCGAGATCATCTTGGCCAACATGGTGAAACCCTGTCTCTACAAAAAATACAAAAAATTAGCTGGGCATGATGGCACATGCCTGTAGTCCCAGCTACGTGGGAGGCTGAGGCAGGAGGATCGCCCAAACCCAGGAGGCGGAGGTTGCAGTGAACAAAGATCATGCAATCGCACTCCAGCCTGGTGACAGAGCGAGACTCTGTCTCAAAAAACAAACAAATATTTAAAGTGATAAATATGGCAATTACTGATTTGGTCATTATACAATATAAAGGCACATTGAAATCTCACACTGTATTCTATAAATATGCACAATTATTATGTGTCAATTATTTTTAAAATAATTTAAAAACACACAGATTGCTGGGCCCCGCCCCTGGAGTGTCTGATTCACTGGCTCTGGGTGGCTGAGAATGTGCATTTCTAGTAACTTCCCTGGTGCTGCTGATGCTGGCAGTCTGGTGACCACATTTTGAGGAATCACTGGTTACTGCACATGCTCTTAATCACAAACAAGGCACAGAAGCAGAAACATTCTGGTTGTGTTCAATTTAGAGCAAAGAATGTATGATGATGGGGTGGTCCAGGCTATGAAGAGTGAACCCCAGAGATGAAGGGGCACTGACTGATTTCCTGGGGCCCCAGTGCCTCCCTTTCTACATGAGCCAGGCAGAATCTCCCGTGCTAGACCTAAGAACAATGCCAGCTGCCATTTACTATAATGCACGTGAATATTCTTCGTTCATTAGCACTGCTTCTTATAAGGACACTACAAGATAAGGATCATTTGCTTCATCTGTTAAGATAAAGAAACCGAGTCTTGGAGAGAACAAGAAAATATCCAGGGTCATCCAGCTGGTTCACGAGACAACTGGTATTTTAGCCGAGCCTTATCGAGCACAAAGGCACACACTTACCACTCAGCCACGCTGCTTTTCCATTGCTGTAGGAGTGCAATCTTTATCACAGTAGAAAACTGTGTTTGTGGTAAAAGTGCAGCACAGTGGCAGACTAGTGGGTGGGCAGAGACCCCCGCAAACATGTGCAGGAAGTACCTTCCTACTACCTGGTCACTAGGGCCCATATCCTTAGACTCCAGTGGGCACAGCAGGCCAGGCCATACCTAGGCACACAGGAGGTGGCAGCTCTCCCAGGGGCTTCATCCAAGACAGTGTCTCCCATCCCACCGGGCCCCGGGGTGTGAGGAGTGGGGCTCTGAGAGGAAGGGAGGTGGAGCTGTCACACAGGAAAGAGAAATTACAGAAACTTTCCTGTTCTAGGGGTGCGGAGAATAGGAGGCACACCCTGAGTTTCTGTGGCTATAAATCAAGGGGCCTCAAGGAGAGGTGAGACGGGGCCCCTCCTCATTGCCTCCTGGGCCTGGGGTTTAGAGGAATTTACAGAGCAGGTCCAGAGTGGCCACCCTTGCTGTCTGCCCAGCCCTAAGCTAATGGAAACTCCCAACCAACCAGGCATGGGCACAGCAAGGAAACGCCTGATGGATCTACCCACTGGGTCAGTGGGGACCACCAGTGCTTAGCACTGTCGCTCATTTGTAAACAAGTCTAATAAAAGCACCCACCGCATAGCATCATGAGGATAAATACATCAGCACAAGAAAAATGCTTAAAACTGTGCCTGGCACATAACAAATGTGTATTTCACACAAGCCATCACTGTGTTCCAGGTCAGCTTGGGGCAAGACATTGAGGGATCGCAGAGTGGTAGAAGACATGGTTACTATGCAAGTCAGTGGCAGGCCTGGGCCTGGAGCCCCAATCTGCCGACTCTAGGGGAATGACCATTATCAGCTTTGATGCTAGGAGTCACCTTACCCTTTAAAAAAGATAAATTTTAGAAGTGAAGTGACTCTTAAATAAAGTGACTCTGAAACAAAAGAACAGACAATGTCTGCTGTTCACCTGGCCTATAAGGTCTCCAGTCTATCCAGTTGGGATCCCAAAGTCTGATTCCTTGATAAACAGCAGCTTCTGTGCTTTAAACACTTACCACTGGCAAACATAGTGCCATCAGTTTTTGTGTGTCATCTCACCTACTCCACACAATAGCCCTGAGAGACAGGAATTATCATCTCCTTTTATAGGAGGGGAAATTGAGACTCAAATAGATGATATCATCTGCTGAAGGTCACTTGGCCAATAAGTGATGGTGGCTCAACTTGAACTTGGAGCTATCAGACTCTACAATACAGTACTCAACCTCAGTGTTAGTCTCTCTTCTAGATGCCTTTCCCATTCTGGAAATTTCCCTTCTCAAAATACATTGAACTAATTCTCTGCTGCAAAACAGAAAGGAATTTCCCAAAGGCAGGAGGAAGACAAGATGATAACTGGAAGAGTTTCTGGTCAAGGGCTGGGAGTCCCAGTGTCCCATGACTGTTCCTAACACCAATCAACCTAATGTTCTAGGACCAAGCATTTGGCTTTTAGAAAGTCTTAATGTATAAGGTTAGCATTGACTTGTGTGTTGAATCCTAAAATCCAAGAACTTTTGGCTCTCTGCTCTCTTAAAAATTAGAAATGAGGATTGAGGAGCTAGTAGGTGAGAGAGAGAGAAAAAAATTGTCCCAGGAGCTGATGCTGGATCAGTGTGAAAAGGGTTCTAAGAAGGAGTGAGTCCTACTCATGGGAGACGGGGCCAGACAAAGGGAAACCAGGGGACGCCCAACCTATGAGGTCAGCTTCCCCGGGGCCTCTACCAACTCTCTATTGGTGTCCCTGTCCGAGACTGAACTAAACTATCAGAAAGTGAAAAGGAAATGAGGGAGGAGGGGAGAAGACGTGGCTCTGGGCAACCTGACATCAGATCTCTAGCAGACACAGCACAGCAGAACCTGTAGCATGTAGGAGGAGGCGGCACCAGGGTCACAGTGTATGGGTTTGTTAACTACATGTCCTTGGGTAAGGCGCGTAGCCCTTCTATTTGCTCATCTGTTAAATGGGTCTCCTGAGTGTCTTCTATATGCCAGTGTGCCAGTCAGGGACTCTTTTAGGCACTGGGAATCAACTAAAACAACACAGGTAAGGCTCTGCTCCCATGGAACTTACAATCCAATTGGGGGAGACAGACCATAAACAAGTAGGTAAATTAGTTCATTTTAGTTAGTAATAAGGGCTGTGAAGAAAATTAACATAGTAAGATAATGGAGGGTGACTAGGGGAGGCTACTTTAGAGGAGGGTTCATCTCATGGATTGTTAGGAGAATGAAGTACATTAAGGTAAGAAATGTGTTTAGCCTAGTGCCTGCCAGAGAATAATTGCTCAGTTAATAATAGCCATCATGACCATCATCATCCCAGAACCCTCAAGTCAGAATAGGAGGAGACTGTGCCTGGGCTTCTTAAACTATCTCCCCACAAGCCTCCTATCTGTGAATGAGGTTCTGTTCAAAAGAAACAAAAGCGATAGTGTAATAACACCTTGCCCGACTTTCATTACCACATAGAGCCTCCCAGCATACATGATGTGTTATTATCCCTACTTTACAGACCAGAAAACGGACAGCAGAGATGTTAGGGAACCTGCTGCAGAGGACTGGCTGAGTGAAGCCAGGACTTCTAGGGTCTTTCCTGGGAACTCCGTGGCTAGCACTTTTCCAAGAAGGAAAAAAACCACTACATTCCAAGAAGA